CTTGATAGCGGTGAAGTTGTGCGTGATACTGTGCAAGAGCATGCTCTCTTTGTTTTAATGGATTCGTAGTCATCAAAGGATTGCCAAGAGATGGTTCTCCAATTAGAAAACCATTCCTTATATCCCATCCCGAACTGCTGTGCCAAATAACTTAAGCGTATTGTGCATCTGTAAGGAAGACAACGACATGAGTAAAGTCACATGTGCAACAAGTTTTTGTGAGCTATGTTTAGAATCGATGTTCAAGGATAAGTTTTTTTTATTTTTCAAACGAATGCAATAGTAACATATAAATAAATTTATCACCAGCTGGAAGCGCGAAACAATTACAAGTAATGCGACTTGAAGGCTGAATAAAGGCACGTTCATTCAACTTACTAGCACATACAATGAGAACATTACGAGACTGTAAGAGGCGTGTGAAAAGTCAAATTACGATTAAATTTTCTAAAATTGGAAACAGAAAGCTAAAAGTCTCAGAATACTTCAGAGATGTCTCTCAACAAGAACTGCTCTGTCTCGTACACAGCAAGAATTTAAAGATTAGTGAACGAGTAAACCGTCGGATGGAACGGTTGCAACCCCCTACAGTCATTTGTCAGCAGACGGTGCAGGGTGTTGGTAGAAGCGGATGCTGACCGTTCGGCCGTACGTTATTTTATTTGAATGACGGAATTACATGCCTCAAAAAATCTTACCAGGTTTATCTAAAACGGACATCAATGAAAATGCGAAGAACCAATCCAAGAGTCCACGTACTCTCATATCACCCACCAAATGCACCAAGCTATGTAAATTGTACGTGGCAGACCATAGTTCACATATATAGGAGAATTTCTGTACAAATAAGTGTGTTGCGCTGTGAGTAAAGTCATCATAATCAACAAATAAAAACTTATGTGGGAAAATGTATACTCAGCAAAAGCAAATCAATTCTGTTTTCTTGACGTTAAGAAGGCAGTTATGCAACAACTACCGTATTCGGCTTGTATGCGTGGTGGGAGTCAGTAATAATAACGTTGCAAAATTTATCCACCTCTGGAGACCTTTGACTACCAATAGCCAACTACTTACTGCCACTATGAGTTACTCCTTACTACGTCGTTTTCATCATGGTATCAACTAGCTACCTAAAATTCCCGTGTACCATGGATTTTTACTTTACATAGCTACTTTAGCTGTGTTTTTTGAACACATCGCTACATGCCGTGTGACTTAGCTTGCGAAACGGTCATCATCATCATCCTCAACAGCATGACATCAGTGTTCAACACAGATGCCTCACTTCCGTAATACCATGCCTTATTTGAAAGCCTCATTGAGAAGAAAAGAATAAAGGTGGACAAGGAACGGACTTGAAGGTAGCTTAACACAGTCGTTTTGAGGTTCCTGCACCTCCAGACGTTCACTCAAGCAATCTGGATAGAAACTGACAACAAAAACGCCACTGACATTTGTTGGCAGCCATATCTTATAGTGTCTCCAACCATACGCAGTGAGAATCATGCGTCCCTATCCTGGAAGGTGAACATCACCAACAGCACCCAAGTGTTTCGTGATCTTCTTCATACTCCTCTGCTAAATCAAGGATTGGGCACCTCTTTGCTTACGCTACTCTGAATTGGGCATGAAAAATAGCACTTTCTTCGGCAAACGGTGGTTCGGCAAACACAATACATGTCCCGCCTAGAGCAGCTTCTGAAGCTGAACACATTCATAAGTGATTTTTAGCCAAATGAAAAACTCAGGAAAAACGCAACTCGTAGCTCAGACTCAATCAGTCTGTTGTTGATGTGGCTTACGATTTTATCCGGGATATCAAAACAGCAAAACGTATATTAAACCTGTGTAGTTCACTACTCCAAGCCCTTGAGCTTAGATGTTTGTCCAAAGCCCAGTGAACAGATATGAGTACAAAAGTCCTACAGTTTATTCCGCTGAAAATTTAACAGCTCTTGTTTGAACGCTGTTAGTTACTCATTCCCTCCGCCCTGCAAATCTTCGCCCAGTCTGTTATCTTTCTCTCTGGTCAAGATGAGCTCATATACCCCTAACTTCCGACTTATTTCATCTTAAGGGTGTTTGTACCTCCACTCGGTTATCTCACTCTTGAGTTCGGTCATTTTTCGTTGATCACCGTTTAACTGTGAATATTTTTCACTCAGACCTTCCCTCCTTTAATTAGAGTCCGTTTATCGCATGTAAAGGTTGCTACATGACAGTCACATCTTTTAGCCCCCCTACTTATAACAAAAATAACCTAGCATTCGACTCTTGGGTATAAATCCTTGTATCTTCGTCCTCCTCAGTGACCTGTAATCCAAGAAGGTAGGTTTTTCTCCGGGCAAGGGCAAAGCACAGAATGTGAATCTGTTGTCTCCTTTTCTGTTCACGTATCGAATTTCAACAATGACTAGTCGTAAATCTTGAACTTCAACTCCGACACTTGCCCGTCATCAAACTCATTCGAATTCTGTCTTGACAGTTTTGCCGAGGTAGTATTGGTTTATCGTATATATGTGTATACATATGCTGTTTTTTCGTGTATATCAAGTCACTACTTGGCCGGTTGGGGATAATACGTAAAAGTCGCTCGGCTTTAATCTCAAAGATTGTGGTACTTACCACTTTACATCGGTTTTCGATGAGAATCACAGGCATGTTCTTGTTGAAGGACTGCTGTATCTTGTACTCCTTGCTCCCAAACACCAAAAATCCTTGTGACCAGAATGACTTAATTGCGTACTTCTGTTCTGCCACAAGAAAAAACGGAGTTGATGAACCCCAGCGTTCCAATCTCTCATATTACTATCTCTCGGATCATGTTGTTGGTTGTACTTCTTGTGCATAATCGTTGGCAAAGAGAAAAATGGGTTTGTTAGACGCAAAATCCCTATGGTTCCAACAACTCATACGTTTTGTCTCTTCTTTTGTGGCATTATCTGAGTAAAGAGTTTTTGCCTACTCTCATTGCTAAGCACAATTCTTGCCGTCTGATCAAGGCAGCAATCGTTTCACCTACGCCACCTCTGTTTCTTCCAGACTTCTGGAACCTGATAAGATCAAGCAAGTTGAAAAGCAACATATGTGCAGAAGGCGCTCAGTTTACGTTTGGAAGTTGCTACTCTACAAACAACCTATAGGTGTGTGTAGTTTAGGTGGGAAGTTTGCTCCTGGCTCATTTGCTCAAACCGACCTGGTATGACCTTGTATGAACAAATGCTTTATTTTGGTTGACTGTGATAAAATGACAAACGTAAGTAGGTTACTCTGATTTTGTAAACCAAGCTACAGACCTCTCAGTAAACCACTTACTTCGTGTGTCCGATGTCGTTCATAAAATTTAGAAGATAAATGTGCGTGTTTTTCAATTTTCCGTCTTTCCACTTCCAACCTCCATTTCTCACTGCTCTCTTTCCTTCTGTTTTTGGTTGCATCATGGTTTTTTTTGGATAATACAACTATTCACGGTTCTTACACTTTTATTACCGGCGGATTTCTTCCCGGATCGCGTGCGTGATAGTGGCACAGTGAATGCGGATCTTACGAACACTCATGTCTGAGGTCATCGGAATTAGGCACATTTAGTCCCATTAGATCAACTCATATTGCTTTACTGTACCTTCATCTTCCGTCAATATTATTTCGTTCGTTCACACCCACTTTTAGTAACTGGTTTTTCAGTTTAACTTATTCGTTTTCAGCACATACAATGAGGAAATTTGCCTTCCTTTTATCCAAGTTTTAAACATTTTTCTCAGGCTTCTGTTTCTGAAGTCAAAGATTATCTCTGCTCTACCACTTGTCTGACAGGGTTTCTTCACATGTTTTCCCAGGCCCGACTGAGATTTAACAAAACACTTTTTACTTTTGTCTTGATTTGAATTTCTGACTTTCAACCTCCATCGTCATCGGCAACGCACTAGAAACTTCTTTATTCCACGGAAAAGGTAACCGAAAGCACGGAATACCGATGTTTTGTTCTATAAATAACGCCTCCACATTTAAACGCGGTCGGTTTGATAAAATGCGTTGATTCGTGAAATGACTTATTTAGGGTCAAACAGCATAACTGGGAAGACATGTTGTCACGTGGTTCGAGTTTGTGACGGGTTATCTGATGAGTGACCTCTACAGACACACGTGACGGGAGTCGGGCCACCGACTTCCGGGTCACTCGTAGAGATAAAACTTGGAACTTACGAACAGCGTTGGCAGGAATCAGGCTCTAATCTATCGGGAAAGCGTGTGACAAATTGATTGTGAAACGCGGCAAGCGTTATCAGTGGTCCGATCGGCAGTGCGCCTCCTAGACAGATAGTGTGACGCCTGTGGTTTGTCCTTCAACTTTACTGTATGTGATGAGAAGTCTCAACTGAAAGTCTTGTAAATCATTTCTATTTTCTCACAGCTGATATGAATCTACAAATATTACAACGTGGATGATACCTGATAGGCAAAAACTACGCACGCGAGCTAGGTCTCACGCGATTAGTTACGGAATGTGTGGGGGCCACTAGCCAAACCCAGTGAATAGGTCAGGAGCTAGTAGAATAGAGATGCAGTAAAGTTTCGCATTACCAGCATGTTGAAATACTTTCACAAACCGCCTATTTAAACCTTGATGATCACCCAAAAACTGCGCCTAAATGCGGAATAAAACCCCATAAGTAGTGCTGTTCTATTTGTAGTGGTTAACGGCCCTATGGAGTCTCTAGTGAACTGAACAAATTACTGGTGTAAGCCAGATACAAAGTCACAAAGAGAAAAATACAAGTAAATCTTGACTCACAGTTCAAAATAGGAGATTCCGTAGTTCCGTATTCCGTTGAACCACCACACAAAGAATAGTTCTATCTTCCTGGTATCCCAGATCTCCGGTGATCGAATTATTACTCCACAAGCGCGAATATATTAGTCCAGCGTTTGTAGCTGAAATGTTTGTTCACGTTTAGTATTAGCAGCGGTCAGATATAGGTAACCGGCGGTCACAACAACAGTCACTCAGCAAAAGTCTCAAAGTCACGTTGGAGCCAACGCGCGGGCGGTAGCGGTTGTATTTCAGTAAAACAAACTTTTGTACAGCGATGTGACTGATAATGATGGGAAAAAAGAAGATGATACTGAGCATGAAAAAGAGCAGTTTACAAGTGCTACATATTAGCGATGCTGTATCGCTACCCCCCACATTATCCATGCCCTGTGATAAACAAACCTTTCGTTCACAGTTTTGCGCCCAATAGGCAGGGTTAATCAAACTAACTCCCTAATAAATGGGTCAGAAGAGAACTAGTCCATCCTTAGCAAAAGAAGGCAAAAATTGAGGGCACACTGCAGAGAGAATGCAAAATTAGTGGCAAGGTTTAGTGCCGTCTCCTCAAAACTATCAAGAGACAGAGAACACTACCATCAAATGAAGAATTTCACCGTAGTATGATAAAAAATTTTGAAATTTCAGTAAGGGTTTTATCCAAAGAATGAAGTCGGTCTGAGCCGAATATCCCAGGAGCACGGTACAGCTGTTTCATTCATTACTAGTTATCATCAGCACGGCATACCCCACCGACTTCTAGAAGGCTTCGCGCATTTTATCTTCCTGTGGTCTGTGGAAAGATACATCATTCCACTGTTAGTGACCAATCAACAGTGTGATTAACTTACAATTAGGACATAGCGGCACCTAGACAATGAAACAGGAGTAATATACTCAGTACTCAGTACCATAACTTTCCTACTTGGCTCCAATAAAATGTCTCTCTTCGAGAAATACACTCATTTGCAAATCAATTTGGTTTTCACGAGAGACTCAACTGAATCTCTCGTTTATGATATTATGAAAAACCAAATTGATTTGCAAATGAGTGTATTTCTCGAAGAGAGACATTTTATTGGAGCCAAGTAGGAAAGTTATGGTACTGAGTACTGAGTATATTACTCCTGTTTCATTGTCTAGGTGCCGCTATGTCCTAATTGTAAGTTAATCACACTGTTGATTGGTCACTAACAGTGGAATGGTGTATCTTTCCACAGACCACAGGAAGATAAAATGCGCGAAGCCTTCTAGAAGTCGGTGGGGTATGCCGTGCTGATGATAACTAGTAATGAATGAAACAGCTGTACCGTGCTCCTGGGATATTCGGCTCAGACCGACTTCATTCTTTGGATAAAACCCTTACTGAAATTTCAAAATTTTTTATCATACTACGGTGAAATTCTTCATTTGATGGTAGTGTGAGAGATTTGGCATACAGTCGGTTTTCTGTAGGACCTCGGGAGCCCCAAAAAAGTGCTCTGCCTTCGCAAGTCAGCCCATAATGTTTAATTCAAACTTTTTTCAGATAACCCTGACCAGCTTGTGATTAAAAACTGCTTAAAATAGTGTTCTTATCCATAGAAACCATTGAATGGAATCTCTTAATACATGAAAACAAGAGCAAATTTCCAAAATTCGAATTTTTGAGGACATCTCATCTGATCACATTTTGTTATTCCGGGCAGGTGGATGGAATGGTCAGATTCGCACCCCGGGCATTCACACATACGACATAGAGTCACAGAATGGCTCCCGCCGTGGAATGGTCAGATTCGCACCCCGGGCATTCACACATACGATATAGAGTCACAGAAATGGCTCCCGCCGGCACTCTGCGAGCCCTTGTTGAAGGGATTTCCTCAAGGAGCTGGATTGTCAGCACATACGGCGACAGAAATGAAGTCAGTCGGGCCGAAAAACACTTTCTCTGCTTTCATTATAGGTAGGGAGGGTTCTCTGAGGATGCAGCGAAGGTCGGGAAACATATACCTGTTGTATGGTGAGTATAAATCAGGTTACAGAGTATTCCGACAAAAACACCACTCATCACAACCTTTGGTAGGAAATATGCTTCATCGCCCGCTTGCTTGTGTATCGTTTGCTCAGGTATCATCCTCATTGATGTGTCACCTGCATCAACCACTTGCCGTGTACTCTCAAGCAAACTTCTAAGCCGGGTGAGCAGTTAAGCGGTAGTCAAAGATAGCTGGTAGTAACCAAGTTTGTCCCCCTACCATGGTACATAAGTGCGCACATTTTAAACTACCAGGGTGGTCGTTCCACAATGGCACAGCTATGACTCGTCAAACTTGTCTATCGTCTACGAAATTTCCCAGTTCCCTTGCAGCCGCCGAAACAACTACAACAGACGGACATCTATTGGAACTTTACACACCGCGACAGAGCAGCAGAATTCCAGCAGGTTAAAGTGATGCAAAATATTCAACCGCTGCTCCAAAATGGTCGTCAGGTAGATCCGGAAGACTCGTTTGTTGTTGCCATGCTACTAGAAACTCGGACTTCTGTCAGTCCATGAGGTCTTGCTCAACCGTAGTTACCAGGCGGGATTACCTGCACAGAAGCCGCTGCAACAATGCATGTCACGACCGTAGTTTCAATCACGTGACTTTATGTAGCCACATACCTTCCGTGTGTTCAACTTCCTTTTACACTACCAGCGTGTTTTAGGTCACGAACCTGAAAACGGCGGAAGGACTGCTAGGACCTTGCTATGTTTTACTAAACCAAACTAACTTATCTGACTCCTCACGAGCAAAAATACACGCGCAGTTGGACTGCACAATAGTGATTTCAACTAGATTGACACCCCTTTGGGACAGGTGTTGAGGTTGATTCGTAAGTGTTATTTGTGAGCTTGATAGATATGATCCACGGGGCCAAATAAGTGATCGTTCGGTCGTAACAAACTCCCGGTGCACAGCTGTCATGAAGGACTGAGATACTGCTGGGTTGTTCCAGCCAACACAAGAGCAGTCGCGATGCCGGAGTTGGGTTAGAACCACGCACCTTTCGGTCAGTAAGTGCACACCTTGAGCACTCGATGGAGCTGTCTAAAGGCTGATTCCGGTCCGGAATAAAAGTCATTTCTTGTTGAAGGGACTGTTAAGAGAAACAGCACTTCATGAGTATGACGTTATGCTACTATGGTTACCATAATGAAGCCAAGTGACATTTTCCCAAAAAAAGATGATACTGTGAGAAGCGAATTCACTAAAAGGCTGTAGGAAAAGATCGTGCTGAAGAGCCTGATGGTGTACCGATTTCCAAAATACAAATTTAAATTTTGACGTGGCAATTCAGCAGTGGAGCAAGAAGCTTGAAATTCGCTTTGTTTTTTACCTCTTCATATTGAGGGAATGTACCCGATGGATCGTCCTCCGGAGCGGCGCGTTACACATATTGTGAAGCGAGTCCACAACTTTCAGCATCCTCAAGAAGTTACCACAGCTCCACTGCCCTCTCGACAAACACGCTTGTAACACTCGGCGGGCGGAACGATCGTCCGGTGGAGTTGGTTTCGTGGTCCCGATCAACCGGCCGCCGTCCTTCAACAGATTGGCCCGGAGAGTTGGTATTCCCACAAGGACGCTGCCCTTTGGTTTCTTCACTTATTCATGAGATACGTTCAAACAAGTTATCAACAGCAAAGCCGTCATCCTCAAATCAAAGGTGAGCAGTAGTTAAACAATTCTGTCCTGTCATTTTCGATGTCCGGTTGCCTTTCTGGTGGTGGTGCCAACTGGATATATCACATGGATCCTTCGGCATGCCTGAGGAAGAAACATCTAGCGTTATAGGTGTGAAGCGGTTGTTAGCTTGTGTAGTATAAGCAAACTTGACGGATCGAAACGGACTGCTTGCTTAACCGTCATCACCCCGGGACAACATTTATTTCGTATCCGTATTATAATGGCCCTAAAGGTTGATTTTGGCATGTACATCAGTCCTTATTTGGCACAATTCAATCGGGTCTGCCTCCTCGCTGCTTTTGGCCAAAAAGGCACGGCTAAATAACCTACCTGTCAGTGTGGCATACTCTTTTACCGGTGCATACGTGAGAATGTGGCAACAAAAAAGAGACGCTCCATTCAAAGGAAGAAAATACGAATCACTTCTTCAGGTTATTTTTTGAAACATTTTAGCATCACAATTTGATTTGTTAAGCTAACAAGTTAATGAGCAGCTTTGGAGCGGTAGTTCAAGGTCACTTGTCCAATCCTACCAACCACAGAATCTTTCTAGTGTTCTGTTCTTGATACACAATGCTCAGAAATTAAATCAAAGAACCACATTACTCGTTACTGATTGACTTGAGTGGTCAGTTTAGTCAAGGAAATAATTCACCAAACGACAGATGAAATCGCTTGGTGATCGATATTCATCGTGCAAACATTCGATCGCATGGAAGAATGATTCAGGCAGTAGAAGCAATTTGTGCATTGTCAATAATTCGGGCGCTTGTTCCTGAATCACTCTCTCTGTAAAAGCAGACTGGATGATTCACGATTTGAAATGTGGCCCGGTAGATGTCCTGAATGTGCCGCCCCAGTGATCCGGCTGTCAGGATTCCCAGTAAGACAGCGTTACGAACACCTGAAACCCGGTGGACTATTTGTAAACATTACTTTAGGATTTGTACAATCCATATTCATGTCAACTTCGTTTGAGCAGTTCTCGTTCCTCTAATCCCGGCGTAGTCATTCTGGTAAGTTTGTTTGAAGGCGACGAAACAGAACTCGAGTTTCCACCGATCAATTGGTGCTACTCTTATCGAGCCTAAATATGGCCGGTTTAAGCAGAGCGCCGATGTTGGACACCAACTAATCGGTCTGAAATGCTATCAGATCCCAGAGAGTGGATTTACCGCCATACTTTTAACACAACACCTGTCGCAAGCGAATCTTCCTCTATTTGAGAGTGAACCCTCCTATTTTCAACTGATAAATTAAGCTCTGTTTCGTCTATCCACCCGCTTTTAGCCACATATATATATATATATATATATATATGTACGACCCAGTAGGCTATTTCATACTTTACTTCGGAGTCTGTCATCTTTGTAGCTGTTCACGAGGCCACGCTGCAATACCCGGAGATGGTGGCGTCTTGGTGTCCGGTGGAGATGGGTTTAACGCTTTGGTTCGCGATCCGCTGGACACAGCCTATGCGTTTGTCTATAACGACGCTGAGAAGAAGGGTGTTCTATACAAGTACGTCCACAGTGGAACTCCTAAATTCAAGCGCCCGCATCTTTTTGCATTCTGGTGTTGATACTGCTGAATCGGGTGCATTTTTCCGGAAACTGAGTCTCCTTAAGCTGTCAATGTTTAAGTAGAAACCTTACTAAGCTCTGGTTTCTCCCCCCGCTTTTAGCCACATATATATATATATATATATATATGTACGACCCAGTAGGCTATTTCATACTTTACTTCGGAGTCTGTCATCTTTGTAGCTGTTCACGAGGCCACGCTGCAATACCCGGAGATGGTGGCGTCTTGGTGTCCGGTGGAGATGGGTTTAACGCTTTGGTTCGCGATCCGCTGGACACAGCCTATGCGTTTGTCTATAACGACGCTGAGAAGAAGGGTGTTCTATACAAGTACGTCCACAGTGGAACTCCTAAATTCAAGCGCCCGCATCTTTTTGCATTCTGGTGTTGATACTGCTGAATGCATTTTTCCTTTCCGGAAACTGAGTCTCCTTAAGCTGTCAATGTTTAAGTAGAAAACCTTACTAAGCTCTGGTTTACAATATGTAAGTGGTAGGGCAATGGGACGACAGTGAAGCATCGGTGTTGAACACTGATGTCATGCTATCGATGATGACGATGATGATGATGATGATGATGATGATGATGATGATGGCAGTGGAATATTATCCTTATCATCGTTATCGATAGCCCATCATCTATGTTCAACACTGATTCTACTCTACCGTGCAACTACAATTTATTTAAAAGCCTTCTTGTGAAGAAAAGAACAAAACTGGATGTTGAAGGAACCTAGTGATAGAATATGACGATCACTGCCAGCAAGCTACACCTCCAGACACTCAATCAGACAATCTGGGTAGAAACGGACAACAAAAAGGCCATTGATATCGATTAGCAGCCATAACTTGTAGCGTCTTCAGCCGTGGACAGCAGAGATCACGCAGACCTCATCCTGGAAGGCGAGTAACACCGACAGCACCCAGACGTTCCGTATCACCCGTTCTGTTTGATATAGTAGGCTTACTGTGGGCCTAGAATTGTTCTTGGAGGCTGTTCACTTAGCCATATGTTCTCGCCGCTGCCACTGCTGTTGAAGGTTTTTCCCTTCGACGTTCATGTTATGAAACGGTTTGGACATCCATCTACCCTTTTCAACTATTTAAAGGCCTTGGATATTCGGGAAACTCCATCAGAAACTGCCTGAAATGAAAGAACCACAAGAGCGGCTACCGGCCGCTTCCCTCATCTATCGTGGCTGGTTGTGCTCTCATTCAAAAGATCTTGCTCTAGAAGTTCACTTGAAGCTAATTAACCAATCAAGTGCGCTTTCGACACAGGATCTACGCTTATTTACAAAGTTGTGATGAAGACAGTAAAGTACATCCGCACATTGTGCCGTTGACATGGACGCTCCAAACACATTCCTACGGGTCACTGACAGCAAAGCATACCATAGAAGTATCGACAGTTAAACCTGTAGGCAGGATGCTCCCGTAGTGGCAGAAATCTTCCCAACATGTTATGCAGCAGTCATTAGTTGAATACACGCTGGCTACTGTGGAGGCCCTGATAAGAGGCAGATATTTGAGAAGCACTTTTTCTAGGTCAAAGCGAGGTTGACCTGTCACCTGATGAGCCGCAATTAACGAAAAAAACATCGAGGTTTTCGAGGTCCGATAACATGTTCCCCTGGACGCTCCAAACGGCTCAGTGATGGTGGCGCGAATCTATTGATTCAGAGGCTTGTGGTTCGAACCCAACCCTGACATATTGACAGCTCCTGTCTAGGCTTGCGAACCTGGCAGTACCTCAGCTCCCCACAAGCCTTTTTCTAGTGATACGGCAGCGATGTAACGAAAAGGCACTACCGTCGGACATTTATCTTCATTATTGTTTTTTTCATCCGCCAACAGCGTTGGGAAACTGCTCAATCCGCGGGCTTATGCAGTTTATGGCGTACACGACTCTGAGGGAACTGCTTGGCTGCACGGAGGCATTGGACCCGGCGGCAAAGCACAAAATACGTTGCTCAAACTTGAAAGGTTGCGACCCGATGAATAGAACCCCATTTGAAAGTAGTATCCAAAAGAACTGTCCAATCTCGTACGAGGACTTTTGTAAATTTTTGTGATTTAATCGAAATATCGTCCGTTGTTGATAAACTCATTAATGCTTTGTACTTTTATGGTTTGCCTCAAAAGAAAGATATGACCCACAAAGTTTTCTTGCGTTTCTGCAGCTTGATAGTAATTGAAAATTTCCTGGTGCCCTGACTTTCTTGGATGAAAAGGATGCATTTGAAAGATTTCTTTGCTCGATTTTATATTCTCATTCCACAAAACACCAACAAGTTTACAAGGTTATTGATTCTGCTCATCAGCATCCTCAACGTTACCATCGTCGCCGTTAGTTCCACGCGATCGGGTAGCGGAATAAACGATGCCGCCTTTATCGACTTCTGAACTCTAAGTGAATGAGCTCAGTGGAACTCATAACTCGTGTTTCCTTGTGGATAATCGCTTAAACAATGTAGAATTTGACCGAAGAACTGACTTTTTTGTCATCTATGCTACGCTAGTCCGTGCTCAAATAGTAAAATATAGCTGACAAACTAAATATTGTAATATACGTAATATACTATTCATAAAGTTGCTGAACATTCTTCAACAGCTCACGACCGGTTTCACCATTCTTGGGGCTCATCATGTAGGCGCAATTCCCGAGTTTCCGTCGACCTTTTGTTCTACTTGAACCCATATTGCAAGAAAGTAGCGAAATACACTCATTTTCAAACCAATTTGGTTCTGCGAGTAACTCACCTGGAACCCAGCTGAATTTCTCGTTTATGACATTTTCATAAACTAGCGAATCAGCTGGGTTCCAAGTGAGTCTCCCACAAAACCAAATTTTGCTAAACACTGTAACCTTTTGAATGCAGTATGCCGGATTATTCCATCAGTTTGGCTGAGAAACTTAAAGTAAAACTATTTTTGTACGGGGGATACTCTGGAAAGTGTCACATTCTGAGTCTACAGCACGTCCAAAAGTGAACAAACACTGTTCGCAGGTACTCTATTTGACGAAATGAATTTGTATCCATCTGTGAAATGTACAGCTTATACCTCGAATAAAATGTCGCGCGCACACACACACATACACACATTTAATACGAAAAATACAATAGCACCTCTGTACCAGAGACAAGGAATGGAGACCGTGATATCGTTCTCTTTTCTCGGAAGGGGGTTGGACGGGGAGAGACGGCGGAAACGAAGCTGCATACCATGTACATGCATATCACGGAAACTTCGTTCATCATATTGCATTTGGTTCTGGTGTTCGAGTCGACCGATAAGCATGACAGAGTGAAAAGTCAGTTTGTTTTTTAATAAAAAAATCCTAGGTGACGGCAGACAGATGAAATGCACAAAACCAACTAAGTTGAAAGGATGCTACGGGGGCGAGTGGATGGCGGAATCCGATTAGGTCAAATCTGATACACGGAAACGATTTGTTTGCTTGTTCTTGAACGAAATTGAAACGGGGTCAACAACGATGCGTCTCGAGGGGGGGGGGTTGGACAAAGCAATATAAAAGCAAAATGAATAAGATAAGATTCCTCTCTGTAACAAAATAGCAGAACGGAATGTTTCTGCGTTGAACAAGCCAAACACACATGCACGCACGTGCGCGCACACACACACATACAAATGGCGCGCGGGAAGAAACGTGGAGGTAGGGTGTGGACACGGAAACTTCTGTTTCCAAGCCAAGTCTGGATGCTCTCGGTGACTGCCATCCTCAAAAAATTCTTGTATATACGCTGCCCAGATTACGGAGAGTATTCACGTGTTCTATCCTAGGTCGATTCAAAGTCTAGAATGCCTTGTTCACAGTGAGGTTGTGGGAACAGAGTGCCACTCAGAGTGCGGGAAGAGTCTCTCTCCTGAATTAATTACACACAGTGGACGATTGTCGGTTGATCGACTGTCGTGGTTCAATTGTGAGTGAGGCTTGGTATGTCTGTTCCTCGTCCAGGAGCCGAGTTGGATCCAAGAGGTAGTCGGTTACCTGTGAAGGGAAGCATAAAACACGTCTCGGGAATCACCACTTAAGGTCATCATGATACATTGTCGAAATTCGAAATGGAAATTTCAACTGATCTGTCCTATCCAACGGATCATGTTCTCCGATTTAACTGGATTAATGTTTAGCCTTCGTTATAGTTCTTTTAGTGGTCAATATGTGAGCACTGCTCACGGGTCGGATCTAAGACAATTAAATTTCATCACAGTGAGATTACAACAGCACCTGTTTTTACACCGTGATCATACCAAAGGATAGTTGGAATGGAAGGGTTTCAGGCCGACAGATGGTGAGTTTCTTTGAGAGGATACTCGGAATTTACTGTGTGGAACACACTACTCTTGAGGTTGCTGAAAACTCTTCGACAGCGCACGACCAGTTTCGCTCTTCTTAGGGCTCATAAGATAGGCACAGTCCATCATAAACGAGAGGTCCAGCAGGTATTTCGTTGATTCTTCCGCCAAAACCAGGGTAATATACAAGTGAGAGTACTTGATGAAGCCAGCAGTGGGCTTCTGAACAGTTTTCATCAACCTTATGAGTAGTGTTTGGTGCGCTATTGATTCTCAGTCAAACTGACACTGAGAGTACATGTCAACCAATCCAATAACTCTATGTGGTGGGACAGAAACCAGGTATTGGTGAGGTTTGTGATGTCATATTAGCCCAAGATGACTACCTTTTCGGGATCACGATGCGAATATTCCTATAGTGAAGTACTTTTCATTGCGGAGAGTGGACCCTCAAATACACGATTCAAGCAGAGACTCAAAACCATCAGTTCATCGAGAAGTGGTTACCATGCCCTCGAGTAAAGCTACTCGGCTGACTACTTTTACACTCCAAGTGTCCGTCTGACTAAAAGTTCGCGAACCTTAATAGGACACATTATCTGTAAGACACTATGGCAACCAACCAGGGTGGATGGCTGACTCTAGGACGGGGACAAAGAGCCATCAGACAAAATGTTTACCGGACACTTACTGAAGACAAGGCGGAGGACTTTGTAGATTAATGTTATGGCGTTAAGTGTGCCGATACCTAAAGCGTGCCTAATTGTCCCTTGGATCGCTAGTTAATTTAAACGTTCAAACAATGCTGTTAAACCCAAATTGGGGCAAGCATGTAGAAGACGGTTGAACAAGAAGAAAACTGTCCAATTGTGGGCACTGAATACAAACCAAAAAACCTAGACAGGGAATGCAGCCGTAGCGCTCATGATCCAATTAGGTTGCCACCAGTTCTACGTGTGTGGATCCCTGATAAAAGGCATACGCATACTCGGAGCGTTCCCGTAGAGCTGAGGAACATAGTGGATGTGCAGAAAAACGAGCTTTTTTTGCAAACTCCTGGATGGCAAATTCAAATGTCGAGGATATCCGTTCAAATCGTTCAAGCAAGAAAGCGAAAACCGAGAGGAATGACTGATACCTTCTATGGTATCGGGGATGGAAAAACAGTGAGTGAGTTTCCCACTGGAACTGGAACAAGCCGCCAGCTCTAACTCATCCGGTCTAATATGCACGTGTACTAAATCCTTCCGTAAACTGGATTAATACTAGACAGTTCCATAGTTTTGCGGATACCGAACTGAGAGCTGAAGCAACAATATAGTTCTTGGTTACTTTCATCGTTCAGCTGTAGAACCCTTCCGGTGCATAACTGCCATGCAACCCGAACGTTGCACGAGGGCTGGGATACTGTCAGGTTGCCCAGGTCCAGACAGGGGAAGTCGAGAGGCAGAGTTCGGGTTCGAACCACGGACCTTCCGGTCAGTAACTCCGCACTCTAACCACTTAAGCCATCTCACCCCCCATATTGACCTGATTTGTGGACGAACGTATCATACAATACATTAGAAACCACACATCGAGGTATTGGGACGCAATTCTTCAAACATGTTGTTTCATCCCACATTGGTGATGGGCATTTGAATACCAGTGACCGAATTGTGACGATTACAATTTTGTTTAAAACGATGAATAAAATAGGTTATGGTGGTAACGGTGAAGATGGCAACCACAACGATGGTGGAGATGAGGAGGACGATGAGAAAGTTACTTAAAATTTTCTGAATCTAGCTCGGATGGTGGTTTACTCTTAGAGCTTCTCCAAATACAGCTCTAAAAAAGTCAATCAGGTCCACTTTTTCTGGAGGTGGTTCAACCAGATGGATACAAATGTGTCATTAAGATACTCTTACACGTCAGGGAATCGTGAATCACACAGACACTTACTTCTCTTCTATGAGTTATCAGGTACGGCGTCTGATGATACTGTTGTATTTCACGAATAACGTGCGCGATCTGCAACAATTAAGAGGGGGAGAAAGTGAAATGAACAAAATATCTATCGCGCAAAACCCAAAAACTGCAACCAAAAAGTTGCCCGCTGGGTTTCAAGCGTGTCACGCTACCTGACTGGGAAGTCCTGACTGGCGGGTCAATCGATCGTCACAACCAGGACAGTTACTGGGTCGTCCTTCGATCAGTCGGGCACACCAATCACATCGCTTACGTGTAAGCACGTTCACCCCAACATGCGTTGGTGGAGTAGTGGTTACACGCTCGCGTCGAATGTCAGATGTCCGAAGTTCATATCCCGGCGCGGCCATTGGACATGCGCTGCTGATTCGCTCTAATAACAGCGGAACTCGAGTCCGCTGCTTCCTTTTGGTGTGGACTCACCGGAATAATTACGCTAGAACAGGAGAACGACCGTTCAAACGAGAGTGGTGTGACCATGAGCAAAAGTGAAATGTCCATGAACGGTCCACGTGTAGGAATACATGCCTATTGAAACCATTCATTTCGTTCCAACCGTTATCACAAACACTGGTTTACTTAGCAACTTTCCTCTGGCGGAATTCTGTAAGCTATCTTGCTTGTTGGAAGCCCGAGTCTTTGATCTGACCAAAATTTCGGGTTTCTCTGCTCATTTCTATTCAAGTACATTTTTTTCCGTGGATTCTTCAAGTCCATGGTCTCTTCCAATGATCCTTCTCATCATAACGACCATCATGTTAATGCGTGGTAATGCCTAGTCTGGTCGTTAATCCCACCGGTGCACGCCCTGATATCGTTTGAAGATGAAGCCATTTGGGACTGGTATTTTGATGGGTTAGAACAAGTGATCCAGTTTAGGACCCCCGTACTTGATCGATGTGAGGATGATCCTGCAATCTCTGTCACCCAAACTGGTGTAGCAACTACTTTTTAAGCAAAACAACACGTCAGCCAACCATTGCGAACAAGAAGAAGAAAACTGAACCAATTTTCCTTTGTTAGGAACAACGCTGTGTTCAAACGTCGAGTGAATTACGCGCAAGAAAGCAAGCTGTAGAGTCATTCCGAAAGAATGGTAGATTGGCGAACGGAAAGCCTATAAGCTGACAACGGCCCATATCCGTGCGCCTGGCACATCAACGCTACGCGGTAAGCATGCTGTTGGCGTCTTTCAAAAAATCGTCCATTAAACTGTCCATCCTAAAAAGTGATACGATATTGCGCATATACTTTTGTCGTCCACTATTTATGACCAGGACCCAAAATGCGATCGTTTATAAACGGCGTTAGTACTACTCATATACTATGGATTTTCGGACAACAACGAGGCCTTCGCTTACTTTTCAAACATGTACTGAAGCTAGGTTTCGTTGGACAGAAAATAGGCGCCAAACTATTTCCTGACGAAATGAGCCCAAACTGTGCGCTTCATCGATTTTGGGAGCTACAAAAACGACCTTGTACTCGCATAGACATGAAATCATCCACTGCATGACCCGATATACGTCAGTAGAGAAGATCACGTGATGTGCTATCGAATTATCAAGTAGGACAACGTGGGTAAATATAAGTGATGTATTTAGATGAACAACTTTCCGGCAAATGTCCTGATCTATAGGGATTACTCCCACTAGAAAAAATCAATCGCTTAGCTTGTATTTACTCAGGGATGTTTCTTGATTGACAGGAGGCAAAAGGTACTTGGCGTGTTGCATCCCAAGCGATCTAATTCAAGGATTTCTACTGTCTCATCGGTCTGAATTGTGTCGTTGATGTTGATGTTTCGTCCAACATTGTCTGCGGTGGTCACACCCCTGCTAACTAAAACGTTATAGATCTAAGCTACTTGTATAGTAATAAGTAGGCAGAATTCTATTCGAGTATAAACTTGGCTTCAACCCTACCTAATCTCTTCCACTGATTCGTGGGTAAGCGTTGGTGTGACCTGTTAGTCTTTCCAGGAAATCATGCTGCTTCACAAACGATGCATGCAGCAGTTCAGCCTACAGGTATGGTGGCACCTTACCTGAGAAACGAACAGTCTAACAACATCCTGAGTAATGTAAAGTGTGAAATTGCGTGGTTGTGGTGTGCTGCGATGAACCTGAGTCTGCAAGTAACTGGAACTTGTAGCAGAAATGTCCTTATAAGAGGAAGCAATCTTAGCAATAAGGGATGATTGAATCGAGAAAGAAATCCACGTTTATGTGAAACGTGACCTCGTGACACCACAGGGGTTTCAGGACAGAATTCTGTTTATTCTATCTCCATTCTAAAGAGTTTCCTTATCGAGAAACGTCGATGTAGCCTACAATCTGATCATCCCAGACACTGTTGGAGGTTCGCACAGTGGTGCAATGTCCTGAGGACAAGGTTACGGTCCAATGCAGTGATTGATCCGCCGACTCAGTGCCAATCACATTTCAGCCAATCATGAGCTTCCGTCTCATTGACACACTTAAAGAACCCCTATGGGATTCATTGGGTTATCAACTTGTCCACAACATACATGATCAAAACAACTACAAGTCGAGTATCGGAAAATCTGAGTCAGAATCCTATGGTCCGGTTAACATGTGACTCACCATTCGCATTTTGCAAAAATTTACCAAGTTGTTCTCCGTTACATTCAATGCACCTTCTTCGATAAAGGACAAGTCGGTCAGGTACATTCCCAAGTAAGGTATGCAAGGGGGATCACACCTGGAACAAAATAAATTGAGAAGATATATTTATAGTGTAATCTGGGTGGGTCTCAAAACTTTTTACTCTTATGTAGATTAAATCTATCACTAATGTCAAAGCTCTAGTGACTAGACTCCCTCGCGTAAGTCAGTGTTGACCCTTGTTCAGTGACTATGTATTGTGCTAAATGATCGTCGGTCGTCCCCAACTTGTGTTTCGCAATCGTAATCGCTCACCTGTGTAGAGCTTCACGCATAGATTTGAACCGTCCATCTGAGGCAACCAACATTTGCAATCGATCGATCGATTGTTTGGTTTGTTTGCTCACACGCTCCCAAGTGCGCCGCAATCGATAGACCGAGCTATTGACCAGGGCCGCGCAGATTTGCAGCACACCGTTATAGTTTTGGAGACAGCGGCAAATGTTGGCTATTTGGACCCATTTGTCAATACACGTGACACGGTCATTTAGCTCCGTGCGGGAAACGATTTCCGATACGACAAGACGACTAACCTGAAGCAAAGAAAATAGCAAGATTAGTTAAATTCTTTGCCAACAGCAGAAGTTCAGTTTGACTTGAAGATAACTGAAGGTGGTGAAAATTCGACTAAACACTTGAATATGTTTACTACTATGCCATATGATAAATTTCCCCTGGTTGTTGGAACACGGAGTGCTATAAACAGCTGGTATCAGAATCTGGTTTAGCGGTTAGCATTTGCCGCACACCACAGACAGTTTCTGTGAACACGAATATGGATCTGAGGGCATCTTTTCGCGCCAATTTGTAAACCAGGGGGGCCAATATCAGCAAGCGAGCTGGTAGAGAACGCCTGGAAATCATCAGCCAGTCCAAAGATGATAGCATGGTAGTGGGCACCGGCACTAGTAATCCTTATCGTCGATGTACAAGCGTCATCCATTTCAGCATGTTTTCAGCCGAGCTTTCATTTGGACCGCAAACATTTTTTCTGGGTGAGAACGAGCTAATTACCAAGCTTGATGAGCAAACCGATTGCCACCTGAGCAACACCACCTGAGGAACACAACGCGGCCGTCAGGAGGCATGTCCTGTCCTTGATATCCATACACGAGGACCAAGAAGGCCACAAATTCAACTTGGAAAGCGCAGAAATTTTGGCATACGGAGGCACGAGGCACGGAAGATAATTTCTGGATGCATGGTACTCCACGGCAAATTCGATCAACCGGTGCATCGAACTGGACCCAATTTACGCACCCCTACGTGCAAACGACCAACAACTCAACCGGAAAACTCAAGGAGGACCGAATATTGGATTCCCAAACAACGAAACAAGGAACACCTTGGAGGCAAATCAATAAAGGTCACAACCCAGGACTGGAAAGGACAAAGGTCAACCTAGCATCGATCAGCTTACGACCGCAGGGGATGCCAAGCTCAAAGGTCACGTGGGCATCGGCGAATGGGGATACAGGACAACGGAGCAACCAATGGAATCACCCGACCGAACAACTAATCGCGACCAAAGGTCATCCCCTGCTAGCAGCACGTATATTAACACACGCACAACACTACCCAACGCACAACCACCAACCCACCGCTACGCACTACTACGCTCCACAATAACGCACTAATGATGTCACCTCGATTGGTGACGAAACGTTTGCAATCAAATTGCCCAGCTCAGCGAACAAGCCAACAACCACCATCTACGATACCTCTATATAGGGTTAAGTTGAAATCACGGTACTCACTAACGAAGATAAACTGGGCAGTATAACAGAAACTTGAAACAGCAGTTGCCCGATTGTTCACTCGGAAACCAAACCGAAGGATAAACTCTGTTAGAGAGCTTATCTAGTGTCTGAATACATGCCAGAATGTATACCAGTCCAAAAGCTGGGCTATAAGATCGTGTTACCTCTCCTTTCACTGCACAGGAATAGACCCAGACTTAAGCATCGCTGAGACCCCGGGATGCCTAAATGGGGCTCAATCGCTTGAACTAGTACTCTAAACTCAGTTACCCGATTGCTTTAGTCCATCAGGGGCACATAACAGGTTTGGAAAGTTCAATTCAATTCTGCGAATACTGAGTGTCCCTGTGTAGCTCTCTATCGAGAGCAGCGCTTGCGAATTTTGCGTGCACGCGTAGATGCAGTGACAACCGACCGTTCGGACAAATTGGGACCCGAAAACTGCGCACAGGGGACCCGTGCAGTTGCACCAACTGGGACTGTACATCCTGTTAAGTAGCAAGTAATTTAAGTCAACTAATGAGGGTTCCTCTGCTTTTTTCAACAGCTGAGTTAACCGGTTTTTCACATTATCCGACCATAGCTAATAAATCTGATCGAAGAATCACGAAGCTAGTCCGACATGGTCTACAGTACACACAGCATTATTATATTTTACGCAATATCTGAGTGATCTGTTGTTGTCAGACATGGAATAGAACTGCTGTAGGCACCAATAGAAAGTTCTCAGTAAGCTAATCTTGGACAGCCGATATATGCGGAGTTCTGCTCTACCCTGGTGTGCACCAACCTGGAATTCCACTGTCTCGAGTCAAAAGGGGGAACATTTCTTCTGGCGATGCACACAGCTTGGTAGCCAGTCACATCTCAATCTGAACGTTTGGTCGAATTCCATTGGCAGTTTAATAATTGAGGCGATTACCTTAGTTTCCGCGGGCCAGGTGAATGGAGACCCACTTTGATCCCAACCACTGACGTCTCAATCCACGAACCTCCAGTCGGTAAATTGACGCTCTAACCACTGACACATCTCACCCCGAATGAGCCACAGTCAATTACTGATTGTTCGTTGTAAGCTCAGTTCACTTTCATGCTCACAAAATATCTCCATCCAACTGGTTTTCCATTTCTTCAATTGTTGAACCCATATTTGAACGAGAACGGCGTGTCTTATTGGAATGACATTCATATCTGGGCTCCTGTCGTTAGTCTGCACGACAACTTTATTGTAGGGAAATAACTCGGGCCATGTATCAAGTCACTAATTAGACAGAGGGACGGACGACTAGACAGACAGATAAACAGATTGATGAACACACAGATGGGTAGATAGACGATCAGACAGACAGAAGATGGACAGACAGACAGACAGACAGACAGCAGACAGACAGACAGGTATACAGACGGATAGACAAACGGACAAAAAGTTGGTAAACGGATGTGCGGGAAATAACACAAATACTACCTGATACAGGACTCACCTCATTGAATCGCTTGCAAACCAACAACACATGCTTTGACTTTTCTTCCTTGTTCGGCTTCATCCAAGACTGATTGAGAAGTTCTCTGCAACGACAGGCGGGAGAGAGCCTTGTTGAATTGTGGAAAGTGCAGTTCCGCATTTGATAGATTTGATTCGTATTAGGATGGTGTTCTCACGAGCAGTGTTCCGTACCCGTTTGTCCAGCAGTTCGACCATGAGACTAAAGGGGGATGTCCGCCAGTCCAGATCCGTATATTTTGTTCTGTGCAACAAGATGCCATTTCCACACTTCCTAGTTGCTTATAGTCCTGTATCTTTACTAATGCCCCGTAGTTTACACCGCCTCATGGTTTGTTCAGGTAGTTTCACCTTCTGAACTGTGTTCAAAACCTTACCTTAATCGAATTTGCACGTTGGTCAAGCCTGAAAACATGGCTTTCGTAGACATCAGCGGAGTATCTTAAATGATTTGGCGTAAATTCTTGAGATACACTCCTTTACACATCAGTTTGATTTCAAACAGAGGCTAAAATGGCTCTCAGCTGAAGCTCTCGTTTATGATATTCTTCAATTCAGTGTGCTGCACAAAGGCTGCTTCATGTGTCAGTTGGTATGATACTACTCATAAAGTTACTGAAAACTCCTAATCTTTTCGAATTACGTCTGGGTTCAGGTAGAACGTGGGACTGACGGAAACTAGGAGAATGCGCCTACATGGTGAGTCAGAAGAAGAAAGGCAAAACCGGTCGTGGGCCGTCGAAGAGTTTTGAGCAAACTTCGAGGTGTAGCGCAAACTTGAAAAACGGATCTGAACTACATAGGTACACCTAAACCGCTGTCTATGGAAGTATCCAAACGACATTTTATCAACCAGGCTGTGCAGCTTCTATAGTCTTGGTTGCGAAGTCACTATCATCCCATCGGTCCTACGTGGCCTAACTGCTGTCGCACGCTGCAGTACTGGTTACCTTAGTCGAGTCGATGACGTTCCTTGGGCAAGATTTTCTAAACAGTTTTGCTACGCTCTTCAGGTCTACAGTGTAACAGCTCCAATGTTTGCATAGATGCCATCTACGTTGAGCGTTGTGATGGCTTAGGTCATGGGAAGGCAGTTTTATGGGCACATACCATCAAGGCATGGCGAGCTACCAACTCGCTGCAAGCTCCCTTTCCGTTCGTACTTTGTGATAGTATTTTTACCTTTATTTGTCAGCGCGACGAGCTTTTTCTTACCTGTACAACTACAACGCTTATCTGTTAACCCAAGCGCTACAGGAGACATGTTCAGCAACCAAACAAGCCCTAAAATCTGTGATCTACACCAGTACAGCCAAAAGTATTTCAAAACATGAGTAAACAGCAGCTGTGATCTCACGTTTTCAACCAACCTGGTTAACAAACTGTTCAAGAAGTTTCTCGAACACTTCCATTAAAAAGAAACAGAAAACCACCATCAAGTGCAGAGCTCCAAGAAGTACACGATTTGGCGCATAGCGTGTCTAATGTTTTAAGCCGGCCCGTGTTTGTTGTATCCCAGAACTGCGATGCTAAAGGATTTCTTTTCTTCCATATGTGGGGGTGAGTCATGTAGCTACTAAGTCTATAACGTATTCGTGACTATCTGTCTGGAGCAGGCTCTCACAGAAATATTCTGGTGAGTCAAATTTTGGTGACTAAGCTTGGAGCCAAAAACAAGTTGTCTTTTTTATTTTGTAATATGGCAAACATTGCCTCAGCTTTCTGGGGTTTCGTCGTTGAAATTTATGGTGCGTTCCAAAAACAAAATGAACAAAGCTTTGTTGAATTCAGATTATCAGGAGAGTAAAATTCCTGAATGTAACCTCAGAACGCCCGAAACCTACTGCTCCACCAAAATCTCAACAAGGAAGCCGGCAAGCATCCAGGCCAGTCAATCATTCAATCAATTCAGCAAAAGCTGATGGGTGTTCATTCACGCCACAGAAGCACGACCGAATGTGATCTGCGTTCAGGCATTTTATAGAGGCACGATCGATGTTGATGGGTGTTCACTAGTGCCTATCAGACAGCCTGGGTCAATATTGGAAAGTCCCCTCTAAATAGCGTGGGGCCGTTGTAACTTTAGCTCTTGCACTCGCACGCTGGTAATGTGGTGAAATATTGGCAGCTCGGGTGAGTTTATTGGTTGTTGATCAGATGGCTGTTGATCTGTTCGCCGAGCTTGGCAATTGGCTTGCAAACGTTTGCAAGCCAATTGCCAAGCTCGGCAAACAGATCAACAACCATCTGATCAACAACCAATAAACTCGCACGCTCTCGCACTCGCTTGTTCGGAATATAGCTGTTGTGTTCCCTTCTGTGAGCCTTTTCTCCGGGAACTAGGCAATGGAGCGGGTCAGAAGCAGATACCTCAGATTGACGAATCAGAAGATATAGCACAGATGTAAATTAGTCAGCAACTCTGTGAGTAGTGTGTTACGTCTAGTTTATGTGAGCTTTGTCATCAGTTAAGTGTGACGGGTTCAACAAACAAAATGGATCACAGGTAAGCTCATATCATATTCACAGGCAATTTCTGAGCAGCTGTCATCCGCTTAAGCCAGAACAATTAATTTTCTGGTGGATAGTCCATCAACCAGGATATTTCGAAATAGGAATGGACCTGATTTGGAACTTACTCGCTTCTGATTGAACGGAATATTTGGAAGTCGAGAAGGGTCAGTTGTTCAGATATATCCAGGGCTGTCAGCGTGTCAAAATTTTTTTCCGACGGGATCTATGGAAAATTGACAAGACGTATGCTCAGGGTAGTTGACAGGCATTCATATTGCACAAGTCATAATAACAGCACAGTGTTGCTGCTCGGCGTTTGCGTACTTTATCCGGTCACCCTCCACGTAAACATCGGGTAAGCTCAAATGGTGGCGTCGTAAACTGCCACTGCTATGCTGGCCCTTGGTTTGCCGTCCCTCCTACATTAATACCATAGGTTGAGATGGACTTTAGTGGGGTTAAGGGGAGATTGCTACAGCCGTATTTACAGAGTGGTCCCGAGATCTTCCACTAGGCCAAGCTAGGATCTACATGACGGCAAGAGAAGTCCGAAATAGGAGTATACTTTTATCATTGGTCCCTATTTTGACCAATCGGGATATGCCTTCTTGCGGCCCGTGACCTTTCGCGATCCACTCAAACTACGCGGTACTCGCTTGTTTCGAGTATCTCGCCTCCGGTCACCAAAAGCGTCAGATCATTTGTGAGTATCAGTTGGGATAAGTAGTAAGTAGTAGTATGCAAGTGGGTTATACAAATTTACACGCAACTTCGAATAAAATTACAATGAAAGAGCCCATAGATGTCTCAGCAATCGGATATGAGAGCACGTGCCCCCTTCAGTTCAAAGTTATTTTTTCCAAAATATCGGATCGACTTCAGGAACGGTCATCTATAATCAGTTAGCCACTCGCTGTAGGCCATTTGGTTGAACTTTCTTCACCAAGGAAATCAAACAAAGCCTTCGCTATTTTGTAAAAGTAACTTGACATTGTACTCAAGCTGCCTTGGACTTGGTGACGCAGTAGATAATATTTTTGTTCATTCGGCTGACTTGTGCGATCCGTAATCACGTGAAATACCGCATTCTTACTGTTGTCATGATACCCGGTTATTGGCCGTGATACGAAGTGCTCATACCTACCTACATCTGAAGGAAAATAACTCAATTCATTTCGTCCAAAGCGCGTTCATGAAAGCTCACCAATATTGTATCAGACACGAAGGAAACTCACTTTTGTTGGGGTAAGTATACTATCCAGATTGATACGGTTTTCCACAAGTTGATCACAAAGCATTTGTCTCAAAAGTTGTCCGGCTGCCTTTTGATCATTTGGAAGTAACTGAGGACAGGTGACAAGCGATTCTAGCAAACTCTTCATTTCTTGTTTCAACAGAGCATCACCGTCGAAATCCTGCGAAACAAGAAACGGACAAATTAAAGGGATATAACTTAACTGTTCAGTTTTACTTTCATATCACCGAAAGCCAAGCCGTCAGTTCGATGGAGGGGGACACAAAGATATTCCATAAAGCTGTTTGTTGATCACCAAGCGACCAGATAAGATACAACCATCTCGGTCTGGTTAGAACTGAAACTCAGTCTTTTTTAATCAACATGTCGTCCCACAAATGAGGCTCACCCATTCTAAGAGACCAGGAAGAACCATACAGCTGTCTCCTTCTTGGAATGAATCATCGGTGTTCAGCGTGCATCTGCTGACTGGAGGCGCCACTATATCACGTCCTTATCGTTTGGGCACTCGTGTCCGAACGGTGTGGAGTCAAGAGAATCTGTCGTGCGATACGCCCTGCTGATGAGTATTATCAAAGATAAAACGAAGTTACGGTGCTCCTCGGTTGTTTAGCCCAGACTGGTCTCACTTGAAAGACGAAATATCGATTGGAATTTCAGGAATCTCTAAAATTCTATGAGAGTATAATCTTTCGTTTACTGGAGTCTCTCCAGGCAATCCAAGACCAGGTAAATAAGCTCAATTACCCCCCTCCCATTTTTCTGTATGAGACGCGCAAACTTGTCTTGGAAGGCCTGAACAAAAAGTACTATTGTTTGATGGCTTATGGAGGCAATCCAAGACCAGGTAAATAAGCTCAGCTAGCCCCCTCCCACTTTTCTGTATGAGACTGACAAACTTGTCTGGAAGACCTGAACGAAAAGTAGTATTGTTTGCTGGCTTATGAGCCTCAAAGGAAAACTTTTCGTGACAGACGTAGGTCAAAATCAAATGCAACCTCATTGCAGAATGACTGCGGTATATGGTCTGCTTGCCGAGACGTATGGAATATCGGACCAACTGAAATATGAGGTGGCTATCGATTAGCCTGAAGAATATCAGAAAAGGAGATTCCACTGGAATTCGGGTTAGTCTCCCGTTAAAACCAAATAAGTGGGCGAATGGACCTATTCGCTAATCGCGTGCAAAATCGGTGCTCGATGCCTACACCCAGCCGAAGAGCCCAAGATGGGTGAAGCTGGCAGTGCGTAGTCGAACAGTTTTCAGCAACCTTATGCGTTCCTTTAGAGAAAAAACGATGTTTATTTTAAACGAACTGTAAACTAGAAATGGTTCAGAGAAAAGTTCACATGGAAGCGAAAGTCTGACGTTCGGAGATGATTCGACGAAAAGACGAAAAATCACTTGGTCTTATCAGTTTATGTAACCAAGTGGCGTGTCCTACGAAGAAGAAGCTATCTCCTTCCAAAGTTGCAAAAAAGAGACGTCTGCGCTCGCACAGAGAGACCGTGAGCCTAACGACCATCTTTCACTAACCATACTAACCAATAAATCACTTGGCGAACAGAGAAGCAACATCGCATGACTGAGAGGCGAGAATATGACAGTGGAAGCCAATTTTGTGCTAGAAACGGAATACGAGGTATTACACTCCGCATGACTCATTTCGTCCCTGTTAACTTTGGACCGATTCACTTAATTCACTCTTAGTTCTTGCGTTCGGACACTAGTGATGGCTGGGTTTAGAACTCCGAGCTTGTCCATCATTTTGTACTGTTCGCATGCGTACACGTTTGGTCAATTTTTCCCCAATCTCCGGTGTCCTGCCTAACCCTATTCTGTCGGAACATGAAGGTACAAAAACGAGTCCGGATAGCCTGGCGGTTAAGACACGAAACTTCCGGCCTGAAGATACTCGGGGATCCAGGCACAACCCTAGCATTCGTGCTTCCTTTGCGTTGTAAGTGAAAGGACATCACAACTGAATGGCTACCGTTTTCGTTTTATTTATTATCCATTCATTTAGACTACTACTAATTATTTAATCAATTTTATTGCAAAAGTACAGCCTAGTCGCACTGAACTGCACTCAACTCAATTTTGACGAAGTTTCTCGGCTTGTAGTAATTCAAAATGCTTTGTCGAATCACGTGTGTATTCACGGTTCGGTCCTAAAAGCCTGAGAGTAACTGAGGTATCTCATCAACACCTGTTAATTTGTTTCACGTAGTGCCGTGGAACTCGCGATCCAACAATTGGTTTTTACCCTGGTGCTTGTGAACCAGCTTTCTGAACAGGAAACCTTCCATTTTGGATGGAGACGAATAGGCTGACACGCCAGTGACCGTAATATTGCAGTCAGGCACGCATATAATCGTAACGTGCTTGATGAGAATTCGAGTCACTTGGTCGTACGTTGCTCACGTCCCCTGGATCATTCTTTCATTAGCATATAGGAGAGTAAAAGTGGCCACTTGTAAACGTTCGCCCAGTGTATTTTACACCTCTTGCTTTGTATCTCTTGAAAAGGGAAACCTATTGCGGAATTTGTGGAGTCGCTTTGTAGCATTTGCTTGGATTCGAGCAACAGTAAATGAATATCCAGGAAAGTTCAGAAAGACGCGTTCAAAGAGAAGATGGATTGTGAGTTTTTGTAAACAAAATGCATATGAGAGTTTTGCTTCCCTATCCAATGGTCTGTAACTGTTCAGTTGGCATTTTCTAATAAATAAATCCTCGGCGAAGGTTTCCTTCCTTTCACTAGAATAGGCATAATGTCAACACGTTACCACCCGCAGTGCTATTTCATTCTAGCAATCCTTACATTCCAGGAGCATATCACCTAATTTGATGTCATTCATGAAGATCACTAAGGCCATTTTCTGGCGTCTTTTCGTTTTTCAGTGATGGCAGGTACCTTCTGATTTCTCGAATCGTCTGCAGACTTTAGGCTATCTGGACCGTTCTCCATGGTGCACCACAGCATGTGCAGAGTGAATGTTTTTGGAAAAATCATACCACTAGCTAAACAGTGAGTAGTTAAAGTTAAGAGGCATTCTCGGGCACACTAGAATTGGCTACGTACATCGGGAAATTTGGTAATCCAGTGACGCACGACATTGAGCACACGTAGACAAGAAGCCGTCGCCATCATCATGGAACGTCTAGTTTGCTGGTCTATATTGTTCTGAGGTGCCTGAGTTAAGTTGTTTGACGTTCCGTTGATGGACGCCGCATTGTTCTGTCCGGCTGCACTGGCACGTCCGTTGAACTGGAATGAACCGGGTGATATGTTGGAAAGACTTGACAAGGTGGTAACCGTAGTTGATCCGCCCAAGGTCGATGTGACTGCAGAAGTGCTTGGCAGTGTGCAAGCCACTGTTTTATATCCTATATTTGCTGCAGCCGCAGATGCCGTACCAGCCGAAAACCGGAGAGCTGCTCGATTCAGGTTTGGGCCAAGCCCCATGATGCCTGCTGCTGCCAAGGGGCAAGCACTGCCGGCGGTAGCAACGGCAAACGCCTGAGCCGCAGCGGTATTGCTGGAGCTGTCAAGGAATAACAAATTGGATATTTCAGTTGTACACCTAAATGCAAAAAGAAGGCAGCAGATGAAGGTACACCATGGATAGGCAGTAAGCATTTCGTCTCGACTTGTTTGGGTTTCATTAAGTGGGGACAGAAAGTCCGCTGAAACTGATAAGTAATCAGACGGAGATCTTTGACCATTCAGTGGCACATGACTTCAGTCGATAATAAAAGCTGTTAAGTGCTGTGCAGCTGTGTTATCTCTGAAACCAATTGTTCCTTTTCCAGGAAATGTTCTCCGATGCCGAATAAGGTTGTGGCTAACTGATTGGATCCGCAATCATTTTTAGCCAAGTCAGGGAAAAAGTTGGGCCACTGATTCGGAAAACATTGGAACAAGAAGACATCAAGCAGTTATTTTTGTGACTTACAGAAATGGAAAACCCTAAAGTGACATGGCATGGCATCTGGCAAGCTGAAAGTTACCAGTTATTGGGTGATGTAAGGAGAGAAAAAAGTACAATGAGCTTCAAAACGGGGACGAGTTCAAATCAAATTGAACCGTTTTCCAGGAGTGGAAACAGGGTCATGCAAACCGGGGTGGATGGCAGACGAAAAAAATCGGTAGTAAACGTATGCTAGCTCAGGAGAACCGACAACTTCGGTGGACTTGAACGAATTAACGAAGGACAAAAAAGAACGGAATATATCTATTTTTGAGCGGTGCTTGCGATTGTAAACCTCGAGGTAAGTCATATTAGGGTGATCAAAAGGCTAGTCGCCAGACAGATGAAGCTCCTAGGGTGAGTTATTCCCGTCTACTTTGGACTACTCGTTTTCTATAAAGGGCTCGCTACAGTGAGGCCTGAGGCGCTAGAGAACTTCAGGACCAGATTGCGAGTTCATTCAGTCCCCTTGGTAGAATCTAGAATGTTTTTAGAGCGCAACCAATCAAATCGGCGTCAGGCCAACTGAACTGGATGCGAGCACAAACGTGCAACCAAAATTCATGACAACTATTCACTTGCCTCCGTGCACGAAGAGCAAGATTGACACAAATTCAAATAGAGCACCATTCAACTGTTGGCTCAAGCAAGAACAAAGGAAGAACGTGAATTCATGGAAGCTTGGCTACAGTGAGGCCTGAGGCGCTAGAGAACTTCAGGACCAGATTGCGAGTTCATTCAGTCCCCTTGGTAGAATCTAGAATGTTTTTAGAGCGCAACCAATCAAATCGGCGTCAGGCCAACTGAACTGGATGCGAGCACAAACGTGCAACCAAAATTCATGACAACTATTCACTTGCCTCCGTGCACGAAGAGCAAGATTGACACAAATTCAAATAGAGCACCATTCAACTGTTGGCTCAAGCAAGAACAAAGGAAGAACGTGAATTCATGGAAGCGTGGCACTCCATTGAAAAAGCCATCAACAAACACATTGAAATCGACCCAGTCGATCGAGCACTGTAAGCAAAAGAACTACGGGACCACAGAAGGCAGAGACAAACAAACTAAAACAAACAAACAAGCTTAATCAGGCTGAAGCAAGGAAACTACCGAAAATTGAAAACGCCATCACAAGCATCCAAATTCAAGGAAGATAGATTACAGCGCGACACAGACGGGAACAGATAAGCCGAAAACGGATCTGAAACACTCCGAAACAGTCATCTAAACAACCAATGGAATACGACGCGTACAGACCATAACGCAGCGCAAATCACGATCATGCCAATAATACTGCTGTATATACCAATTAGCCAGCCACATCAACGGATAGTAGATACTCTTCAAGAATTATATAAAGCAGCTAGGCACGGAGGATGTACCCGCTCAGCTGCACACTGATGATGTATCCTTGACTACTGACGAAACGTTTGCAAATCAATTGCCAAGCATGGCGACAGATCAAATCATGCCAATAATACTGCTGTATATACCAATTAGCCAGCCACATCAACGGATAGTAGATACTCTTCAAGAATTATATAAAGCAGCTAGGCACGGAGGATGTACCCGCTCAGCTGCACACTGATGATGTATCCTTGACTACTGACGAAACGTTTGCAAATCAATTGCCAAGCATGGCGGACAGATCAACTACCGTCTGATCAAACAACAGTGACCAGATAGGAAAACAATGTCGGGGTCACGGTTGGGTTTTTCGTTGAAGTTCCCGCTCCACAGTACCACGAAATAGAGCGTGGAGTCCTTTAGACTCCATGGTGACCACGATAAGCAAATCACATCTGGTAGAAAATGCTTTGAGGAAGCTTACGATCTCAGCCATATAGGTGCTTCAGAGGTGCCATAGAGGTGCCTTCTCAATAAAAATCAATGTATGTTGTAGTTAGACCATAAGATAAGGCTGATAGCTCCAGTGATAAACTAACCGACGTTTTGAACGTCTCGAGGACGTCACCACAGTTCCGGCCCTTGTTCGCATCGGAGTTGCTGTATCGCCGATTGTTCCTTGGAACGTACTGTTTCGTGGTGACATTACTTCAGGATCGGGGCAGGAGAACACCGAGGGACGTTTTGGTTCATCCACGTTTGAAACAGCACCGGACCCTGGAAAAATGTAACAGCCAAATTATTTTTGTGATGGACGATGAGGTTTTTTTGAGCTTGCATAGGTCTGTTAGCACTTTCTAGCTTTTTACTTCATTCTTTTAAGAAACAGCTACTCAAGGTGTACGAGGATTGCTGTAATCTCTACGTAGATAGAAAGACGGTTTGATGAAAACTAATCATTTCGCAATCCCTTCTGATCAATAGAGACCGATTACTTACAAAACTAAGAGCCAGTAAGCCAAACAAGTTCACAGGAATGAATTATGGTCTGCGGATGAGTGTGAGAACTGTTTATGTCCCGATCGATTGGCCTGCGTGACCGGAAGTCACGTGAACAAACCATGGAACACTCAGCGCACCCTCACGCCCTCTGAGTGTACAGACACGGGTTGCGTGGGTGAATAGCACTTTCCAAACAATAATTTCGCACGGATCTTGGTAGATGAACCGCTGCTTGACAGAGTATTTTAAAAATAGTATCAGAATCAACCACGTGACTGGTATCATCCAAGTAAGAGACAACTGCGCTGATAATTGACCTCCAAGGCCCGTCCGTCCACCCAAAACGGGTTATGCGCCTTTATACCGTTACATAACTGCTGTGTCATTTCACAAATGTGTTATTGTGTGTAAGAACAGATAAAGCAGTGGACTACGTTAAAAAGTCATAAAACGTGTGTGGTTGGGGTTACCATAAAGAACAAAAGTTAATGTCATATGATTTCCTACAGAAATCAATACGATGATTCCATGCATAACCCCTCTGGCTCATGATTGCGATGAACTCGAAAGGTATGAGGTTCATCCTGTATTAAATATACTGAAGAGAATAGTTATAGTGTTGCGATGCCCACTTATTTTTCTGAGACTACTTCCAAAAATTACTAGGCTCCTTGAATAATCGATGGTCTGTATGAGTGCAAAGTCTTCTGGTGCAACATACGCGTTCAACATATGCGTTAGTTTCTGTATCTATTCGTCTGGTATTTTCCAATGCCTTTACTGTGCCTTGAATCTCTGGCGACAAGGACCAATCAATAGCTTAGTGACCTAGTTCTGCTGGGGCATGTAAAATGTCCGCAAATACCTATTTGATTTCCCGGTAACGTGACGAAATATTCAGGATATTCGTAGACCCCTGAGTAAGCATTGGAGTCTCTCGGTTTCCGAATCTAACTCCAATGACATCGGATATAGCATAGAAACTGTGTGCTGAAGTGCAACGTGTTCCGACCCGATTTATGGATTGATCGTTAGGTAAGTAAGAGGAACAGTAAATTTGACTTACATGACACGACCGACCCACGTGCGTAATCGATATTAGCATTGTACATCTGTCTCAAGCTGGTCCGAAAGGGCAAGGAGTCGATACGTTCCGGTCGAAGATCAACCGTCTTATTGCATGATCCCGCAAGCACGTGGGGATTAACTGGTTCCTCTGTGCCACATACAGCCCCGGCGATGAATTTGGTCGATCCAATAAATCGATTTTGCAACTCCAGCTCGAGAGGTTGGTCATCTGAGTTCTTGTTTTTTGGGACCTGGAGTATTAGTGTTAGTAGCAGTGTGAGAGCAGGGACTTAAGAAGCAAAAGTCTAATGGTACCCTCTGTTTTTTTTTGAAAAATGAAACTGAACTGTCCTCACCTACGTTTGACCTCCGCTTTGTCGTTTAACCCTCTGAAATATCAAGTGATGCTTGGTGAAAAACTGAGGTGAACGTGCGGAATTTTTCATCTAGTTTTTGGCTCAGTTCAGGGTTAATGACTCAAAATGATGATAGTGAAACTTTAGTTACGCAAATTGTCACCGGATTCGCCACCAGAACGCACTAGATGCCATGGTAAAACGAAAACCGCAAAACGAAGGTGTTTGACTCCGATTGGTCAAGCTTTTCACCAATGGGAGAGCGTCTTGCCCCAATCTCTGGCTAGCTAACGGGCACAACGCTCTGTGGACGCATGCCTAATTATTAGGTTTGAATTTCTTTCCACAAAAGTGGAAAGCTTGTTTTAGCACAAGAAAAATTTACTTAAAACGCAACATCCGAAAAGAACTGATGGGGTAACAGCACGCAAAATAGCCGTACGATCGATCGATATTTTATGATGACCCAGTCAATCTGAGATACAAGAAGACTGTTATTTAAGCTGAAGTGGATCCAAACACAATGATGACATTTTTGGAATAAACTATTCAAACGGTTGATCACAAATTCGGTAGAACTCAGGTGTGGGGGCACATCACAGTATTCGTCTACGAGAAAATTTGTGCCACATGTGACGTGCAGTGAAGAGCGCATCACTACTAATACATCGTAATTAGATTTCCAAAGATGTGCGTTACTTGTTTTCGATTTTCCTGGAAATCACTGCGGACACTACTCTAGCTGTGGAATTGATTCTCCACGGTATTCCTGTGAGTTGTCGCGCGAGAAGTAGCGTTGTGAACTCCATCCAGATGGAGATGTTGACCTGAGATTAGTTGGCATTTGATGATGATGACAAGTGATAGCGTCACAAACTCGCCGACGCCTAGGAAGTTGGCAAAACCTACTTAGGTTGCCAAAGATCCCTGGGAGTTTTAGCTCTGTCGCATAACTGCAGACCTTGGATATCATTAGACTGGGAATGAAATCCATCGATGCCGGGACTTGGTTCATTCTTGTGCCACTGTAGATTTTTGTGAGGCAACCAATTATCATTGGTCCAGCATTGCTTTCTGACGCTTCGACAAGAACCGATAATCCGAGGAGCAAGCATAGATCCACTTGGATAGATTGAGCCGAGACCCATTGAAGCGTTTCTCTGATTACCTTTTAAACACAATGGCAGACAGCGTCTTTGGTGGAATGAGTCTCGCGTAGCCAGCCTGAAGAACCGATGGACTTTGCATGCGATTCAGCCGCAGTTGCATGCTAAATCAAAGCGTTGGTTCAAAAATCTTTCAGCCTATTATCACCCGCATAGATCGCTGTGGACGACACCATCGCTCATCTTATCTTACCTATATCATGCGTACAGTTAAGCCACAAGACGTTCTATTAGGTGATGAGCCTCCTCCCACGGAAAAGGTCACTTTACTGCAGAGGGGAGAACAACGTCGCCCTCAGGCACGATTCAGTGTGGACTCACTTGAAACAGTGGCCACCACTCAGCTGAATGCTGAAAACTTAGTTTCAGTGTTTTCTAGCTTCGGAGATCGCTGCACATACACAACCAAACATGCCCAGGAAGAGTGATGGGACTGGTGGATTGATACAAACTGACTGCCATCCAGAACAGTGTTCAAGTCCGCGCACTACTTCCTCCAACCCAAGTCTCGATAAGTCTTTTGCAACCTGGGCATTAGAGCAAGGGCATTTGCACTGACAATGTGTTGCGTCTCAAAACTAGTCGGATAAGGTTGAATAGTCTCGATTCTATTCTGACCCAACGCAAAATTTGTGGCCTGTTCGCATTTTACTCTGCAACTAAAAAGGACTACAGGTGTATGGCTGCACAAACTGCAAGTGCGTATGTTTTGCAAATTGAGTCAATTTGGAGGACGCGACCCTAAACCATCCCTGTCCGTTTACACACGTTCAGAATCAGCCCTTCATATATCTATTTCAGTAGTACAATATTACGATAATAGGTTTCATGATAATAGACGCATGACACCTTCAATCGGTATTCTGATTAACGTAGTAGCAGTGAGAAAAGACAGCAATCGTACTTAATGGTATACAAACCATTGTCGCCCTCAAAATCACCCATCATACGCATCATGCGCATTCTTGAGACTTGTACCGATCTGGATGATGACATCGTACGTGATTACACTTCACAATTTAAATGTTTGTCTGTTAACCGAACTTGGCAGTTGGATTGCAGGCGAACAGACCAACAACCAAGAGGCACAGTCTATATCGTCTCCGTACCCGGCAACATCCTTTAGTTCCTTCGTTAAACTAAGCATCAAGCGCCGGAACTTGAATGGTGCTCCCGACAATCTAAACGGTATCCGTCTAAATTGATATTGGGTGTTCCCAACCCAAACGCCGTTTTTTCCCGGTCTTCCGCTTTGATAGATAATTGCCAGTATCCGGAACGCAACTCAAACACCTTCAAATATCGGGAATGATACAGGAAATCGAAAATCTCCGCGAACTGAAGTGATAGCTACAACCCGATTTATAGTCAGTTCATTCAAACGCCGGAACTCCATGCGAAATCGGTATTTCCCGTTCGCCTTGTATGCCCTGTCGGTTTCCTCGATTATGTCATTTTTCAGCATCACTTGAACGTGCTCATGGACCTCCTCCCGTAGATGGAGCGGTAGTGGATGGGAACCGTAAGGTCGAAAGCATTTGGACGAGAGGGGAATTTCGTGTTTAATCCAAGAGTGACGGCCGAGCGGATCTTCATCGCCTGGGAACAGTTCGGAGTATTCCGCGACCACGTACTATACTGACTACATATTACGAGACGGAAGCTTTCAGACAAGCAAATCGCTCACGGCAGTGCTTGGGTAACCTTCAAGCTTGATTGCGCCATAATTCGTCACCAGTTTTCCCCGCTTTAGGTCGACGAAGGAGTCTGTGCTCTTGAGAAAATCTGCTCTCAAAATTGTCTCCTCTATATGTGGGACGATCAGGAATTCGTGCTGCACGGACCTGTCGCCTACGTGCATTGAGTGCATTGACAGTCCATCAGTTTTCAGTCGGTATTCACCCACCGCTCTCACAGCTAGCGCACACGGTTTGCATTCGGCCTCGTACCCTCTCCAACTCAGCGATATCCCTGCTCCTGTGTCAGTTAGGCACAGCTCCCTTTTCCCATCTATCTCGACAACGGCATGTATGACAGCCTGTGTCACTACACTAATCGCGAGCCATCCACCTTTAAAGGGGGAGTAATCCAAAGTTTTATTATGTACAAGTGGTCGGGTACGAGGGCATTGATTCTTCCAATGGCTAGGGGCACACATTTGTAGCATTGGCTCCTTCGAATGTGCCTCCAAGAATCCGCTGTGATTGCTACAAGCTCTTTGACTAGTTAGTCCACTCTAGTCCTCAGGTCCTCCACCGGTGAACCATCCCTCTTCTCCTGCGACATAAACGTGGCCAGTGGTGCCTTGGCCAATTCCCGTGCCAGATGCACAAGCTCCTCCGGACCCAAGTAGCTAGTTGCTCTTGGTAACCGCAGCTGGCCAACAGCCACAGGCTGCACACCTTCAACGAACTGGTCAGACAGCCACTGCTGGCGCGACACTGTCCAGTCCCGGTAGAATACGATTCAACGGCTGCTGCAAGCTGGAGAAGAACACGGTCGGGTCACATCTAGGTGCTATCCTAGCCGCCTTGAACTGCCTCATGGCCTTCTGGCGGTCGGCTGCTGCAAGAGCTTCCTTCGCAGTGGCCCAGTCCACCCTCCAATGGCCCCTCCTATCCGCATCCAGGGCCGCCTTCGCATGGCCTCTGAGGAGAGTCTTCCGTGCCGCCAACTTACCCAGGTCGGCCTCCAGTCCAGCTGCTTCCACAACCCCCTCGAAATCCTCCAGGAAGGCACACAAATCCCCATCCTCAAAAGGCTTTGGTCACAGGATCTCTATCCCCATCCCGGGCACGGCGCCGAATGTAAGGAGGAAAGCCCTTCGCCGTGAATTCCTCAACCAGAAAATACCAACTAAACAGTTAGAAACTATCCGTGACGAAAATAAACACCTCATATGCCTCTTATTTTAAAAAACCGAACATTCTCACGTGTCTCCTTGAACTTTCGTAGGTATTCATTGATTATTTCGCAATTGTAAACAAACGCTGAAACGTGGTTTCGAGGGTTCCGTAATAAACCCCACCTTCCATTAGAAGCGAGGCGGAGTTAACAGAAAAACACACTACACGCATGCCTCATCAGTAGTATCCATCGTTACACCAGTATTACCCTTTTTGACCTTGCGTCAGTCCAGAGGTTGCTTAGATCACATATCGCCTTCACCAGGATTTGCGAGTGTATTGGTACGTGTGCGACATGGCTCAGTGGATAGAAGGCCAATTTGCTGTTGGGACGGCTCATGGTTCGATCACGGCCTATGTTGCTTGACTTCCTCGTCTGGGCTTGAACAACCTGGCATTATCCCAGCCCTCGTACTTCCCTTGCATGGAAGCTGGGCACCGAAAGGGTGTTACAGCCGAACGATTTGGTATCTGTGCTTTGTTTTTATGCTTCTGTGTGCGCCTCCATTCTCGCGAAGCTTCAGGTAGGCACACACTTCTGTCCACAGTGAGTAGAAACATTCGAATGTTTGATGGTAGTGTGACAAAAGTTTTCAATCCTAAGTCAAGGTTTCCTCTTGCAAGCGAGGTCAGTCTATGCTGGAAAGCTGAGGATCTGTGTACAGGTGTCTCCTTGTCGAGAGGCCTCACGAACCCCTAATGATCAAACCCGCGAGCTGAAGTCTATATTGTTCCGCCAGGAGAGGATGGGTAGCAGTTTGAATTGCACCTGGATAGGATAGGTGGAACTCATGAAATCCACGTCATTTGTTCACATAATGACCGGCTGCTGGGGTGGTGGCTTCTCAGATAAAATTTTTATAAGACTTTCTGTGTTTCCCTTTCTGAACAGAATATCTAATGTTCTGATGGATGTTTGAGGTTCAGTATGAGAGATTCAGCTTGGTTCCAGATGAGTCTATTGCAAAACCAAATTTGTTTGCAAATGAGTGTATTTCGCTGATTTCGCGCAATGAGTTTTCAAGTAGAATATAAGGTTGTCGGAAACTTCGGGACTGTATCTGCTAGATGGGCCCCAAGAAAGGTGTAACCGATCGTGGGCTGTTGGAGTGTTTTCAGCAACCTTATGAGTAGTGTATTACGTCTATACATGTATCACGATATATCGAATGTCGTACCAACTGAAACATGGGGCGGCCCGGTGCAGCACATTCACAAAGGAGAGCTTCAGCTAGGTTCCAGGCGAGTCTTTCGCAAAACGAAATTGGCTTGCAAATGAGTGCATTTCACAAAGTATGAGGTGCTTTGCGACCTCCGAAGGATGCTTGCTATTCTTAGCGAGTTGTGTGGTGCTTGTCGACTTACGGGCATGAACTGCGCTCGAAAAATGAAACCTCGACGAACACATTCAAAAGTTTCGCCTATGATCTCGTGAATCACGATAAAAATGCACGGTCCTACCCATCTCTGCCTACTTTCTACCATTTTTTGGTTTTCTGTTCCTTTGCATGCAAACAATGGGAAGATGTGTGAGTGGCAGTATGATTTGTAATATGTATGCATGACCAAGTATACTAACTCAACTCACTTTGTCGCCTTTGCTATCATGGCCTGACTGGTCTCCACACCTTCCTGCCGTTTGATGGGTTGCTGAATTCAGTGTTTTTCTCTAAAATTAGAGATTTTTTATAGAAACTTATGGTCACTAAATTCTTCGTTGTTTGTGGAAAAAAGCAGAGATCTTGGGAGAGGTTAAGTGTAAAAAACCTGGCCCATTGTCCGACCACCTTTGTAAGCTCACCTTCAAACTTTTAGGTGAAAAACCTCCTGGCTTTTCTTCGAATTAGCAATTTCGCTTGTTGTGCCATACACACCTGCTTTATAGTCCCCGGTGTCCCCGCCCCGTGAACCTGAAATATGTGTCCCTCCCTTACTAAGCGTAAATCTTTTGTGACAACAGATGTAGCATCACCTCATTGAAGATGTGCGGACTAGTGAAGATGTCGTAACAGGACATGTGTTCTACGGATTGTTGAGCTGCCTGTTGTTACGGAGAAGTAAACAGGTTTTCGACTGGTTACTCCTTACTTCACTCAAGTCCGCCTGCTGTCAAGTCATACCATTTAGTATTTTGAACTACGGGAGATCCGGAGTTCCGAACAGTATCCACCGGATCACTTCAGTTTAACTATATGCCGTCTAGTTTCGTGCTCTATGAACAGATCGTGCAGCGGACCCACGGATTCGTCCGTTCAGTTCGACAACCTCCATTGCGTTCACCCTCTGCTACGCACTGCGCGCCCTACAAAACCAGAATATGCGGCATACTGCAAGGACACAGGCACGCACGCATACTGGGTGTATCCAACTTTGCATGAGTAGACACTTGCGAGAAGTATGACAGATGAGAATAACAAGGAGTGAATTTCGTTCAATAATCGGACGCGATGGACTAGCCGATTTGAATGCCACATTCGTACCAGAGTCACGTGGGAGTTGCGGAAGAACAAACGCAGTCGTAGGAAAGTGTATTCACATCATTCATTTGTGCAATCTCTGTTCTAACCTGGGGCAATTTTTTCTGCTTAGTCTACAATAAACTGGAAAGTCTCTGAACTCATCGAATTCGGTTTGATGAACATGCCTGGATTCGAAATCCAGTTGCTTGACCTATAGTGATGCTGTTATGCCCAGCTTTTACTTGAACACCGGACTGTGCGTATGCTGAACCCTCTTGAAGAGAGTGGACCTTATCGTGGCGCGACAGTTCGCGCACTTCAGTAACCCATTGGACTGAATTAGGGGATGCCTGACAGGGTGCGGCATCCTGTCAGGTTGCTCAACAGATTCCCGACAAACACACACAGTCTTTTGGCCCCTCAGGTTGTGGGTCGAAGACCTGTGGTAACATATCCTCTAGACTCTTAGCTACCCGAGAAGTCTCAAGCTAAACAACGCTCCCTTGTGTTCGGGCTTCTTGGTTGAAGGCTCTTACTGAGAATCCCAATCGAATGACCTCTAATTTAGTTTTAAGTAGAAAGAAGGTTAACGGAGACTCGGGGACTGAATCAGTAGCCCCAGAAATAAAAACGTCGCCTCAGTAGTTGACTGACTAAGTAAAGTAAGAATTATGGAAGTCCACCTTTCGAATGCAACCAGTATGGTGTGAGGATAGAACAAGCTACATTGAGTAGCCTTTATGTCCACTTTCAGTTTTGACAAGTCCCAAGCCCAAAAAGTGACATTTTTGACAAAAGAAGGCCAATGAATTTAGAAGCCAAACAATCGTTTCCACTTCATGAAGCTCTCCGAGGAAATCCTCGCCAGATCGGTGTGTCTTTACCCTCAACGGACAAGATGCAGCTCTCTGGATTAATCAAAGGCATTGTGTTACTTACATTTTGTCCAGAAAGCGGTTCATGGCTATTCCTTGGACTTGAAGGAGATGATTGAATGGTGTCGTGAACAGTGCAGTTTCCGTTTAACATTGTCACAACAGGGTTTTCCTTTGGTTGCACCCTCTCTTCACCCTGGCGGATACGAACGAGCCCAGCTGGACAGCGCAAGGCGGCAAGCATGGTAGACTTTGCCAGCGTCTGACAGGCGCCTTTATTCTCCCGATCCTCATGGATCAGTTTCGTAGCCAAATCGAGACCTTCTGTGATGGGCGAGAGGTTCACTGGTAAACCTGGGTTAGATCTCACGACCAGAGAAGTAGCGGCATCAGACTGACTTTTTGGCAAGTTATGATGGGCTTGTGAATCCGGAGCTATATTGAGATTGGAACAAAAAAACTGTCTGTGAAAGAAGACTAGAACCCTACTTTACCGGTGAGGATAATGCTTACATAGCGTCTTCAAGTACCAAACGCCTTTGCACTTTGCTCTCAATAAGTGACAACTGCTATCCGTCTGTAGTAAGAGGATGTCATGAAAAGCATGTCAGTAGTATGTCGTTTATCAGAAAATGCTAGAGGTTTCATGGAGCTTTTTCAGTGACATTGACCTGAGTCATTCGTAACCTCAAAAAGTTGTGTGGTAGTACTGGCGAAAGAAGATCACGATAACGCACTTTTAAAATCATTCAGCTGTAGCAGCCTTTCGGTGCGTAAGTGCCGTGCCACCAGAAGGAGGCACGAGGGCTGGGATACTGCTAGATTCCCCAACCCTAGACTGGTGAATTCAAGGGGCAGAGGTTGGGTTCGAACCAAGGACCTTCCGGTCAATAAATTCGCCCTCTAACCACCGAGCCATCTCGACCCCTAATGCACAAATAGCTGTCCTCTACGTCCTTTTTGGAACCGGGTTCCGCATCTGATTTCAGACCTTATATTCCGACTAAAAAACAATTTGTGTTAGATGTGGTTCTAAAAAGACTCGGAAACTCGGAAACGATTTTGATCGATTAAACCTCACACAACGAAAATGGTTCAAATGAACAAGAACCTGAGATGCTACCTCAAGTTACCACATCCGGTTTGGTTTTGAGCCATACTGGAGGGTCCACTCTCTCATGATATATTTTATCAGACAAGATGGTACTAAAGCATAGGCTCGCCGATATGATGTCCTGAATCAGTCGATCTCGAAGTGGAGCATTGCAATGCTGCCAGAAACAAAGGCTGACGCCTTTTCATCACTCAAATCTATCTGAGCAGAATATGCAAAGCTGTTTTTTTTAAAATACACTTGTTACAAACTGTGGTGTTATGGTGAGAAATAGGTCAAAAGTACTTATCAGTTTGAAAGCCTCATTTCATTTGAATAGGGGTTTGGCGTTGGACAAATGTTCGCTATACAACCCCAGAGAAGTTATTCAAGTAGGTTTTAACCTCCTATACTATTCGCCCAAAGTGCCCCAACGTCCCGTGAGAACACTTGTACTGTGTATTCTGCTGACGGTTTGAATAGATTATAGAATCCCAGCCTACATTCCTTCCCGTTAACTAATTCGGTCTGATCTGAAAAGTCCTGAATCTGTTTACTTCTCGTTAGAGACGTTTCTAGAACGATTCAAACCAACAACTCTCCGCTTAATAGTTGTAGTCTACCCCCCTGGAGCACGAGCGGCGACTTGGCAGTGTTATTAACTCATAAGTTCGTAGCTTCTTTGAAAGTCACTTTTTACGTTCACCTTTCACAGTTAAGCTCCCGTTCTGCAATCACCAAGAGTTCCCGTTGCGACTGTGATTTCAGCTTAATTCGGTCAAGTGTGTGTGTGTGTGTGTGTGTGTGTGTGTGTGTGTGTGTGTGTGTGTGTGTGTGTGTGTGTGTGTGTGTGTGTGTGTGTGTGTGTGAGTAATCTCGAAGTGTCTGTCTTGACGAACAATGTACTTATCTGAACATTTGTAACGTTCGGATACTTTCTTGTTTTACATCCCAAGTGTCTATAACATGTGGGTGCTATGCACGCACGCGTTATTCGGACAGACCATCTGACCACCTGTACATCGAGCAGTACATATCTGCTTAGATCTTAAGGGTAGGCCTGTCTTGTGGGGCTTCCTAACATCGCCGGAAGCGAGTGTCTTCGGAAGTAAGCACTCCACTCAAATAGGCCCATTGGCCTGCTACATCGTGGCCCTGTTCATAAACTTCTTGACGGGGGTGTCCTGACGAAAATAAAACGGCGATGGTATGCGTCAGGCACTATACCCTGGTTGAAAACCTATTGGTTTTCCGTCTAAAAGAGTTCGCGAGATCCTGATTCCGAACCAACAAACGTAGGAACATCATTCAGCTCCAGTATATTAGAATGAAGTTATCTCTTGAATTAAACAGTCGTGCTAGCGGGACTGCAAACTTCCCACTACCTAGCAAGTTGCACTTGCTTTCGCAAAGGCTACAGATGCGCCGTCGAACGAAAGCCGGTTGGCACTATGGACGTAACAAATCCCCATGAAACCTTCTGATTATAACTGCAACATGTAATCCAGCTCATACAACAACGTCCCCGGAAAGCGACAGCTGGCGTTCTCAGGGTAGACGAGGAGCTCCTTGGGCCGTTTGCACTCTATTTGATGCTTCCAGGCAATGAATCTGCGTGGCCAACTGCGCACTGGTGATATCACATCGGTTATGCTGAAACGGTTGCAACCCACTAGCCAAGCTCGGAGAAGAAATCCACGTGATCAGTAACCAATAAACGCAACCGACCTACAAATATTCCGGTACATTTACTATCTATCCACCTGCCAAACAAGCAATGATCCCTCACCCAAAGAATCGATCAATCAATAAAATCAATCAATCAATCGATCAATTAGTCACTCAATCACCCAGACGATTGGTCATTTGGTACATCAGTCAGTCAATGTTTCTATTTGGTATTTTCACTTTGGACGTGACTAGGCTCGCTAATTTAGTTCAATTTGAGTACTGGCTGGGCACCGATGGGATGAGAAACACAAATAAACGTAAGTCGATGTAAGTTTATCTTCAATGGGAGCCTTTTTTAGTTGGCCATTTGATTGGAAGCACTTTTTAATACCGGTTAAGTCCTTGCTTGTGTCTTGATATTGTGATCAATAATATTCAGGGAGACTAATTCTTTCTGTTCAAAGTAGTAAAACTGGAATAAACCCAGCTTTCAAGTTCTTAAAATCACTTAATTTACGAGAGCTTTTAAGGTTAGACAGACGGAATTGCAAACAAACAAAAACTTGAATGGATGACCGGTAAAAAAGGCCTCAAACGCCGTTTAGGAAGCCGTTGTAATCATACGGGTAGCTCATTGAGGGCCCGGACAGACAATAGCTTCTATTCCATTTGATAAAGGTGTGACGGCCCAACTGTGGAACACAAGTGCATAAGTGCGACAGAGAGCGATTGTCCTCAGTAGCACTGTCTGTAAAGCCTCATCTGGTAAGCCGGAGGTCGGACTCGAGTGCATCCGTGGTCGTTAACCCATGTTTCGTGCATCTGGATTACTCATTACAAAGTAAAAACGTAAAGCAGATTTTCTGAAAGCCCACCTGGATGCTGAGTGTTGCTTGGGAGTTTGGGCTTGGTCGATTTTTGTCCTTCACTAGTATGCTCTCGACAAGGCGGTGCAATATTCTGATTCAAATAGTTTTCGACAAGGCGATGAGTTTCGTCTGATTGTGATACCTGGCATGGTGGCTTTCGTTCAGTAGATTGTAGGCCGTCGTAGAATTCCTTGTGTGTAGCCACAATCCCCTTCGATGTAGTTGTGCGTGAAGTGCCCACCTCAGGACTTGGCCTAGGTTCGTTCTCGTTGTTGGGTGACACCTGACTATCCGTCGAGTCCCAAGCATCCTGATGTGAGGCAAAGAAACTCAAATGCTCAAAATGAACATCTATGATGGCAAATGGAGCACGATAGCAAAACCCAGAAAAAAAAATAAATTCTGATAAGCTATGACCTTTTTGTGGATTCATACCAAGAATTACTGCCCCCTGTAGTTGGGTTGGCGTCTTCGTCTCCAGGTCATTTGATCTGACATTCTTTTTGACATGATAAGACTAAAGCCAAGAAGCTGTTCCAAAATGTCTTTACCAAAGCATTTTGCATGATGAAACTTAAAGTGTTCAACTCTGATCTCCAAAGATCTCGCAGCCTATATCTATGTAGCATTAGATTGCGGTGACGCCGAGATTGCTCAGAATGTAGTGGAAAAATAAGCTTCATTTGTCTGATTGAGTCTTAGTACAATATACGGGTATGTGATTCCTCTTCAATCACCGTGTGTTGATGCATACATCAGTCTGACTGTGAAGCGTTATCGCGTAAATATTATAAGTTCAAATACGGTTATCCTCATTGGGAATCTCATTCTTGGGAGCAAACATCTTTACAACGAAACGCGTCTGATGGGTCTCGTTAAGTTTCTGTTCAACGTAACCAACTCCAAAAGGGACCACTCACTCCAATCCTTAGGATTGTCTTTTGGAGACGGACAATTCAACATAATTTTTCAATCACAGGGCTTTCCTTTTAAGCCCCGGGGTTTGACAACTGTATCGGACGACATATCTGCTTTATCCGAGCCAACATCTGCTAGAATACACAGCTCTCTCACGCAGGACCACATGAAAGCTTTTTCTACCGGGGGTATATTTGTAGTTCGGGTTGAATAGGTGGCTGCTATTTTTCATTCATTTCCGTTGCGGATGCTTCGCCGCCAACCGGGATGTTATCGTGAAAGAACAGACTCTAGTCCACAGGTGTTGTTGCGCCATTTGGGTAGCTCAGGGGTGTGACAAAAACACGGGCCAATCAGCACGCAGGAATACAGCTGATAGAAGGAGTGCCTTCAACGAACCAATCAGATACGCAAGCCAGATTCCAAGCTGATCAGTTGTGTTAGGAAAAACCTCTCGAAAGCAACCATCCAGAGTAGAGCTATTAGCGACGTTTTAGAAGCCATGTGGGCACAAGTGAATGAAGAGTAACGACCCACGCGACCTCGCCTGACAACGTCCCTTTGATTGGCAGCAGCTACCAGGCCAATAAAAACTTTTTATCCATGTTCCCCCTGACGACAGCTTTGCTTGAGACAACTTGCGCACCTACAAATTTACCATAGGAAATTTGGTAATTGACGATCAACAGAATAACATAGAATGACGGAATAATTGCCATCATATGACATTGTAGCGACCCAGTCACCCATATACTTGACTGTTCAACTCACAGTCGCTCACTGGATCGCGAGGCTTGTCTTTTGTCTCATACGCACAAACACGTCGCATTTAGCTGACTCATCGGACATCGATTAGCTGCACCGCCTAGTCAGCGTAGCAGCCACTCATGTGCCGACGCGCCCACGTATACGTACTGGGACCTACATAAAGGGAAACCGAACCCAGTCAGGACACACACACTCGCGCGCGCACAGGGAGCAAGGAGTCAGCCCAAGCACTCCAAGTCCACGGACAATCATGGAACACGTGTAGCAGCCAAACTGCGGAGAAAACACGTTACCGCCGTCCGGACTTTCACCAAGGGACTCCCACATCCGACAAGTTCCCTGTTGACTTGCTCCACATTTAATATTGTCCGTTATTTTATACATGCTGAAAATCGTTTCTGTAAACTACTGTCAATCACAGTAAAGACAGTTAAAAGTACATGTATTTCCTGAGTTGCATTATGGCCATCCTCAGCTATGCACCAATAACATCCGATAACTACGACAACTATGCAAAAAACACGACCATTCGGGTCGAAAAGTACTCGACCGATACCAACAACAAAATTAACTGGATCGGAAAGCTGATTGTAAGCTGTCAGGTGTTACCAAAGTGTGCTGCCTTGTTAAAACAACCCAATGGGTACCCAAAAACGAACTCAAAGCACCATGATAGACCACAGTAACTTCGAGAAAGTCTCAAATGAAGCACATCTAAAAACACTTGTAAATGGGTTACATGACTGTGCTTGCTTTTAGGGGGAGCTTGGTATTCGGCCCTCTCTCAGAGGATGGTCAATGGTTAACTATGAGTTCAAGATTCTCACATTCCCGTTCTGATAGCACAATGAAGGCTGACCTAACCTGTTTTGAGTGTTTTAGGTGTGGGTTAGGCGTGTGTGTTGAGTGATATTCTATAAGTCGCGCCAAGCTATTCTATCGAAGCAACCTGACGTTTTGCACCTGCCAGAAAGCTTGCGTTCGCCCGACTGGATGCTATCCTTCGTGTTCAGTTCTAGAGATGTATACATCTATATTACTCTGTGATGTCTTTGCGCATACCTGACTCGTTCTAATATAATGTTACCAAACTTTTCGAAAAACAATTAAGACGAATTCATCAGCGGACCTCTCTGTATTTATGCTTGGACGCATCACCCCTAATAACCGAACAGTGCGTCAATTGAATGGATGTGTCACGTGCGGACCAGGGACCAAACGAAGTGTGCTCTGATTGATCAGAATGACAGCCAATCTGTATCGAGTATCTTTAGCTCGACGCTTCACGCCTCCTCACGGAGATTCTAGCACGACCTTGTGAAACTTTCTGTGATTACCATATAAATACATTTGTAATGATTTTCTTTCGTCTCCATAAAAGGCTGTCTGAAGCTGCCGTGCCTCTTGATATACCATAGTGGATGGAGCAGGAAGCCAATGACCGACACAGAGTTGTCGACCGTCCAACAGTCACAGCAATTTACTGACTCTGTCTCCAAGGCAGCTACATAGATATTTTCATACTTTTAGCAGGTGATACATCATTTGGTTTTACCAATGCAGTCAACTTTCTTACAAGTCTCTACATGGAATTCTCGGAGAAAATAAACCAATACCTCAAATGATGTCACCTAGGATGCAACGTTGGGCCTTAAAACTTGCATGTTAACGGTATCATTTGCGGTATGCTCCAGGACAAGGGAATCCCACAGCGGATGCCCTAAGTCGCCTACCATTACGAGATGTACCATTACACACACCGAAACCGGCCGAACTGGTAAATCTAATGAGTTGGGTTGATGATTTGCCTATCACTGCTGCGGAAATACGAGTAGAAACAAGAAAGGACCCAGAGCTCTCACGAGTCCTTCGTTTCACTTCATACGGGTGGCCGGAGAATGTTGGAAGTGCACTAAGCGGATTCTACGAACGATCGTCGGAGCTAAGTGTAGAGGACGGATGTTTATTATGGGGAGCAAGAGTGATAATTCCGAGGCGCTACCGTCCGGACATTTTAAGGGAATTACATTCAGGCCATCCAGGTAACACGCGAATGAAGGCTTTAGCCAGACACTATGTCTGGTGGCCTGGTATCGATCACGATGTGGAAATGGTCGTGCAAGGGTGTGAAGCGTGTCAGCAAAGTAGGGCTTTGCCCGCAGCAGCGCCCATATCACCATGGCAGTGGCCGTCACGACCGTGGAGCCGCATACACGTGGATTATTGTGGCCCTGTTGAAGGTTACATGATCCTGGTGATTGTCGATGCATATTCCAAGTGGATAGAGGCGATACCCACTAGAACTGCATCTAGTGCGTCGACCATGTCTATACTTCGCAGCGTTTTTGCATTGCATGGTGTGCCTGATACGATTGTTTCTGATAATGGCACGGCTTTTACCAGTGCGGAATTTCAGCAGTTTCTGAGAGCCAACGGGATTGAGCATGTTCTAACACCACCATACCATCCCGCTTCTAACGGCCTGGCGGAACGCGCGGTGGCAACGGTAAAGAATGGATTGAGAAAACAAAGCCCAGGTCCCCTACAAACAAGGTTGGACAAGTTTTTGCTGCAGTACAGAATTACGCCGCACACTACTACTGGTCAGGCTCCCTGCGAATTGCTAATGGGACGAAGACTTCGAACACGTTTGGATCTACTGCGGCCGGATTTGGCGCTTAGGGTCAAACAACAGCAGTGCTCCATGAAGCAAAACGCAGATAAACACGCCCGACCTCGCACATTACGAGATGGCGAGGAGGTTTACGTCAAACTTCAGCCTTCAGATAATGAATGGGTACGTGGATGTGTGAAGTCGACAAACCGTAACCTTATTGACATGCTGTTAGAAGACGGGAGGATAATACGCCGTCATTTAGACCATATCAGAACTAGGAAGCATGGACCGGATGCGGAACAAACACTGGAGACGCCAGTGCAGGTGGACTCCGGAGTGAAGCAAGAGAGCTTGGAAACACCCACAGATGCGCCAAGGTGTCTGCGGCGGTCGGCTAGGGAGTCAAGGCCGGTCGAACGTTATCAAGCTGGAGTTGGCTAAATCTAGCGGTGGAGGACTGTAGTAGCTGCTTCGGTGTGTCAGAGAGTTTGCGCGTGTGCGTGTCCGTTCGTCGTTCCACCATCGATCTGGCATGTGACTTGAGTGGCTGATTGGATGTGTGTCCGATTGGTTGGCTCGCGTGAGCGCTGTGGGTTGACTGGATATGTCACGAAAGCGGACCAGTCTGGCCGCGTGTACCCAATTCACCCGTGTCCGTACGCGTTCGTTCTTCTGACTTATTGTGAACTACAATAATAAGTGATTCCCACTGGATGCTATTCACCGGATAAAATTTGTCTGCTGATGCAGTTCCATTCTTCTGACTTATTGTGAACTACAATAATAAGTGATTCCCACTGGATGCTATTCACCGGATAAAATTTGTCTGCTGAGGGTTGCAGTTCCAAACTTCGATTTCCGGAAACCCTAGTTCTGTTTCTGAGCATATGATTTCAGCATCGTCACTTGTAGTCCAATTGGAGCGATTCAAGTTGCTGCAAAAACTTCCCGTCTCAATTATGGCTACGGGAACGAAGAACGAGATCAATACAAAGAACTTGACCGAAAAGTTGTTGAACTTCCACACTCATCCATAATTTTTACTGTCGCTCATGGTAGCACAGGAGGCTGGGTAATAAACACTTACATGGCCCAAGTTGCGTATCATCGCCATCGTTCGAAGCGCATACACCAACGTTGTTAGTGGACTTATGAGCTAACTCATCAATTCGGGTCCTTAAAAAGCAGAAGTTTCTGAAGTTTAATAAACAGTGAAAATGACTCCAGTACAAAAACTAAGTATAGCACCGCTCATACATACTGTTCGTATACCTTAGACCCGTAAACTGCTGCCTGCCGCAGTTGCGATATATCCTCGTACTCCTCATGAACACAGTTGCTTCAATACCGAGCACGAAGGCCGAGGCTGTGAGTCTTTTGTTTCTTGTCTAGACAGATGCCTATGGCAGCGTTGGCAGGAAGGAGACCGTCGCAGAAGATTGCCCACTAAATTACTCAACTTATTCTATCCAGCCTACTTCTCAGACCATTTGATAAATTATCTGGTGGCTGGCTTTGACAAAAATGTGAAATCGTTGATACCTTTTCAGTCAGCCCGTGACCTACCGGCAGATGTCCTGATTGTGGGTAACTTTAACGTGCCAGGAATCGAGTGGAGCTTGGCAGCGGTTGGGAACAACAGTGCTATACTAGGTTCCAGCGAAGAAACGATTCGTCTTGTCTACTCTTCGTCCTCTCGCGTGTGAGTAATGAGAATGAGCTCCAACTTGCTGTCTCGCTGGGGCACATCAATGAATTTCGGGCTAGACACTGTTGAAAAACCGTGGAGAAACCTTGTCTGTAGTACAGAATAACCATATAAGAAAGGATGGTCCTGGGAGCCTCCAGGAACGCTTGAGAAGAAACGCTCTGGGGGGTTACAAGTGAGTTTTCTCCGCCAACTGTATTCAGAAAAAGCAGGTAAGTACGAAATGTTGCTCGCTAGTGAAGTGCCAATCAAACCCGAACCCTATCAAGGATATCCTCAATCCAAATGTACGCTCAGGAACGCAGTGGTTGCTACTTGGGTCTATGGGTACAATGTTACAGAGGAGGGGCACACAGCAAGGACATTTTGCGAGTACTTCAACACCATCTACAAGAAAACGACCTATGTAGACCCACTCCTGGGGCTGCGGCATTTTATACAGCTTGTTGAGTGGTGAAGTCCAAAAGTACTGCTGTTAAGTTGATGGACTTCAATAAATCCCCGGAAGGGGAGAGTAACTCAGACGCAGTGGTTGCTACGTGGGTATATGGGTACAATGTTACAGAGGAGGGATGGACTTCAATAAATCCCCGGAAGGGGAGCAGTAACTCAGCGAGTAACCGGGTAGTCTCACGTGATTCTTTGCTAAATCGCTATCCTTACGCCAACTACCCGATGCACTGAAGACTGGGAAAGTTATTTCAGCTCATAAAGGCGGATCATGGCATGGTTCAAGTTCCACAAGTATTAAATCTAACCGCTTCTATAGGATTCTGGCATTTGGTATACGCTAGAAGGTAAGCAAGAAATAGTGCGATCATGTGCAAAGGCTTTCCTGCTCACCAAATTTCTTAAGGCCCCTCAAAATAGTAGCCACAATGATTTAGAGCTCAGAAAGCTGATACATTCTGTCTATATTTCTGGAAGGATGCGGACTATGAGGGTCATCGATTTCGGACGACCAAGTGACCAAACCTTTGGGTGAGTCCAAGAGTTCCTTTATGGAAACACTTTCAGAGCAGCTTGCGAGACCCTACTGACACAGTTCTGTAGCCACCAGCGGGATGCTTAAAATGTGTAATTCTCCCGCTGCTATGCCTACTATATGCCCATCTATGTAATGATACTTAGGTGGACCCTCGGAACTACGAGGATCCACGAAAGGACTTGAATTTTGGAGCATCCTGGGCTCAAAGTGTTATCTACCGACAAATGTCTTCAAATGGAGCAGAAACTTTTGTGGTTGTACACACGAGGCATTCAGCTGTACTTACTCTATTTCGGCACCAACCGGAAGCGGAAATTCACACAACTTACAGACGGTTGAATACCGTCACCTAACAGCAATGGAACGCACAGAGAATCTGCTTGCCGAGCTCGACAAACAGAGTAACAACCAGGCAGAGCATCCAAGCTGTCTGTATAATGCGACACCGCTGTTCCCACCATTGTTCAGACTTCACACAAAGAACTCTGATAGACATTCGACAATCTTCATACCTGGTACTGTTAAAATCAGTAGTGAAATTCCGCATATATTCCCATTTTCAGATTTAACTATAGAGAACTATCACGGATCGCAGTTCTATGATCTGTCACCTAGTCCGATATCCCGTAGATGCGTGAAAGCCTCGCTAGATGAACTGCGTTCATAGATTCCCTTCTCCGGTAATGACGCGGAGTAAACTATATGTTAAAAACTGACACGAACTTGACTTATCCTCAGTTGACATGACCTGGAAGCTACTGAATAGTAGAGTTTTGATTCAGAATCACGTGATCATTTTTAGAGGATCTCACTCGACCACACAGTTGACCCATAGGATTTTTTCTAATAAAAGATCATCTGAAACTGACCCATCAAAAGTCAACCTCCTCACCTCTGACTTTATCCGAACGTGCTTATCTGAGTCTCCCTCACAGACCGAATCAACCAAGAGCATCCTGTCGAATCCAACGGGGAAGCACTCAGCTGAATGCGAGCGTCGCCGTTGCCGAGTGGACTCAGAGTTTGACACAGTTTCTGCCTTTTCTTTTGCCTCGTCAACATTTTGGATACCGCTGTATGATCTCGCACGGTCAGCCGTGTTAGTGCCTTCAGGATCATCTGTGACTAACTCACAGGAGGCCAGTGGTGCCAGCCGGGTATGACCTTTGGTCAACACACCATCCGAGGTGGCATTGTCCAATGGTGATGAAGGTACAGTTTCACGTTTAGCAGAATTTCTCTTCGTTGGCTGTGGGGATATAAAGGGGAAGGTATTGGGACACATCGATTGGATTTGATTATGGTGTTTCTATGCTAGAACGAACAAGAAATGGGATGTTACTAATGATGCTGACGATAATGATGGTGATAATGTTGTTGTTGTTCTTTTGCCTCGTCAACATTTTGGATACCGCTGTATGATCTCGCACGGTCAGCCGTGTTAGTGCCTTCAGGATCATCTGTGACTAACTCACAGGAGGCCAGTGGTGCCAGCCGGGTATGACCTTTGGTCAACACACCATCCGAGGTGGCATTGTCCAATGGTGATGAAGGTACAGTTTCACGTTTAGCAGAATTTCTCTTCGTTGGCTGTGGGGATATAAAGGGGAAGGTATTGGGACACATCGATTGGATTTGATTATGGTGTTTCTATGCTAGAACGAACAAGAAATGGGATGTTACTAATGATGCTGACGATAATGATGGTGATAATGATGATGATGGTGGTGGTGATGGTGATGATGATGATGATGATGATGATGACGACGACGATGATGACCGGGATGATATAGATACTGATTATGATGATTGTGATGATGAGAACGGTGGTCGGGAGAGCCCATCGGCGCTTCGGGGCAATAAAGGATACCTTTTACGATATTCTTTCTCAGTATAAGTGACTAAAACTGCCTACCAGTCATTAGTGTACGGATCTACTAAACGGAGAATCGCGTGTTCAAGTTGGCTAAAGAATTCCCCAATCTCAACGTCATTTGTGTTTCTCTACAGTATTCCAATTCAAAGTAATTGACATGTTTATCAATATCTCAATCCGCCAGATTAAGTGCATCGTATTGATTGCGAAAAGGCTTTGACTAGTGACTGCACACACTTCCTCCGAGAGGAGGAGGAAACTACTCATGCAGTTGCTGAAAACGCTTGGAAAGCCCAATACTCGTCTCACTCCTCTTGGGGTTAACCAGGTAGAGGTACTTTTCAGCACCCTTGTGAGTAGTTCTGCTCATGAAAATTTACTCTGATGCCTCGAATATCGTGCCAACTGAATCACCAGCCGGCATTCGTGAAGCACATTCAGTTGGAGAATATCATGGGCGAGAGCTTCGGCTACGACTCAGCTGATTCAGATTAGTGTAAAAATGAGTGTCGTTTGCAAGCATCACTATAGTTTTTCCCTCCCACATTCACATTTTGATAGGTGTTTTATTGGTTTCAGACGATTGCGAGATGTGTAGAATTCGCGTCCACATTAGTCTCGTTTAAAAAAGTTGTCCTCGTATCCCGATGCAGCTATTCTGATGAGTTTACACCAAAAGGTGAAAGCACTGGACACGAGTTTCCCCCATCAGCTTTGTCTTATCGAGGCTGGAAGTCTGAATTGCTGACGTACGAGGCGAGCATGTTACCATCAGGTCACGCTGGACGCGCCTGAATTACCACGTTCAAGCGGAAGAACATGTTCACGCTCAAGTGATGTGATTGGTTCGCCTGACGCCTGACACAGCTTTAATTGCCTCGAGGATGTTTTATAGATCTTGTTCATGCAGGAGCCATTCAGAGAGACATTATAAGACTGTTAACTAAACTTCCTGGCATCCATTTGCTACCAACATCTGATGCTTTAGACATCAGAATTATCAAGCGGAACAAGAAAGGGATGCGGTAAGCAACTGTCACTTGAAGAATGAAGGCCAAATAAGCTATGCTCCAATACATTTCTCATAAGGTTGCCAAAATTCTTCGACGGCCCACGACTAGTTTCGCCCATGTTGAGGCTCACCAGGTAGGCGCAGTCCCCGAGTTTTCCTCAACTTTATGTTCTACTTGAAATCAAATTGCACGGAATTAGCGAATATACAGTCATTTGCAAACAAATTTGGTTTTGCGAAAGATTCACCCGAAACCCAGCTGAAATTCTCGTTTATGGTGTTTCCGAGCAACTGACTGCGCTGCACCAGGCCGCCTCATGTTTCAACCGGCACGATCTTCGAGATATTGTTGTTCGTAATGCACTACTTATGAGGTTGCCGAAAACTCTTCGACAGTCCACTAGTTTCGCCCTTCTTGAGGCTCATCAGTCTCCGAGTTTCCGTCAACCTTATGTTCTACTTGAAACCAAATTGCACGGAGTTGGCAAATGCACTCATTTGCAAACAAATCTGGTTTTGCGAGAGACTCACTCGGACGCCAGCTTAATCCCTGGTTTGTGATGTGATGAAGCCTGGTGACTGCGCTTCACAAGGCTGATTCATGTTTCAATTGGCACAGTATTCGAGATATCGCAATATATGTATAGACGTAATACACCAGTTATAGGGTTGCTCAAAATTCCTGAGGTGGGACTCAACGTTTATAGCTTAGCGAACGGCCTACGTCTGAATCGCTCGGGTGATGACATACAGTTGCTGAGATCCGGATTCAGTTCGTTTTTCAAGTATATGACGTCCTAGAGAATAAGAGCGGGTATTGAACATGCCCAGAGCTTTCACAAACCATTATTCGGTCTTGACTTAGCGGCGCACGAAACCATGTGTCCTCCCTTAAGTCTTTAATACACTTTGATTAGATAAACGGATAAATGTATATACACGCCAAATTTATTGTACAAATGATGAAAATAGATTATAGTTTCTGATACTTACGCCCACTAATTCTGACAGGTTGGGTAGCTGAAGGGGTGGATCGTCCCGAATGTTGAATATGCCACTAAAAATGGGAGAACGGGGGATCAGTGGAGGGGGTGAGGAGCATGAACTCAGGGTTCGGGGTCTTCCCGCCAAATCTGCTGTATCAAGATTGCCGGAACTGTTCTTTGAATCCTTCTCTGTGCCATAGTTGATCTCGGAACGTGACATTCTTTGCGAGTCCAGTAAGGAGGCGGAAATCGTTCCTTCAGGTGAAGCGGGATTTGGGGATTCTGAAGCAGACATTGGTCGGGACGGTAAGTTAAACGGACGACGCTTTATTATTGGCGCCTTTAGACGCAGTTCCGGCAGGCAACTATGTGTTGATTGAACCGGTGATGCTGTCTTGGGTCGAGACTCATCATCCTTGAGCTGATCCTCCTCTTGTAGCGAAAGCTTTTCCTGAAGTACTGGAAGACGACCTGGCATTGCCACGTCTGAAAATCGAAATGCGCTTGGACTGCGACCCTCTTGAGATACGTTTGGGCTACTAAATTTGAGAACAGGTACAAAATATGTTCGATAAACAACGGACCATTATTAATTCGAGGGGAGAAAGTCACTGCAATCTCATATTGACAATATTGATCAATAATTGAATCTCTGCTTAAAGCCATTCAGGGCACTCAGGGAACCAAGAACAAAGTTTGTTACTGTCCGGTTCTTTCTACTGATAAACCGAAAATCTTATGCAATGGTTACATGAGTTCCAAAGGCATGTATGTCATACAGATTCTCGAGACGGAACGATTCATAGGCTGACTCAATTTGAGACGCGGCGACGTGGGTACCTTGAATGATTTTGATCATCCATGAGGGTGATACACTGTAAAAGTGTAGTGTATCAGCCCAAAAAATAGGTCCCATGAAGCAGGTTTTTTTCTTACAATGGTAGTTCAACGAATGTACAATCCAATCGGCTATTCTCACTAAAGTACCCGCTGCTGAAAAGGGGTCACTTTGAAGCCAGCTACTGGCTTTCATTTCATAACAGCTGGAGCTCTTTGTCACGGCGGAAACACTCTTAATGCGCTATATGGGATAGCGCACAGTCCTTCCAAGCGCGTTTGGTACTCGGTGCGTCGGTTTACTTGGTGAACTTTTACCATGATCTTACTGGTCAGCTCTTTCCAGACGAGCTACGGCCAACAGAAACACACGAGCCTTTATGAGGCTTTAAGGGGTTAGTGCGGGACGAGCAGCCGCCTTGTCCAACTTACTAGATCAGAGTTGATGTATTGATCGAAACCTGTGCCGGTTGATGTTGAAGTAAAATGGTGCTGGCTGCGCCTTCCATTTCCGGGTTGGCCAGTACCTGCTTCAGCGCCCAGATCACAGTTAGTCCGGTTGTGAAGACGCGGTAGGTGAGTAGGAATGTATTGAGGAAATCAATAGAAAGGAATCGGGCGTCCGTCAAACGATCCAGTAACCGATCAACTGTGGCGTAACGGATCTGTGTGCAAATTCGAGTTGACGGGAAAATAAACAAGTCATTAGACTGAAAATGCTGACGGGGGATTTCGAATTTAAGCGTAGGGGGTAGACACATCTTGTTTGGATTGTCGGAAGTAGAGATGTCAGCTCATGACCAAAAACCTGTTTCATCCTCTCGTGGTCCTAGTGTAAATTCTCTAATCTTATGAAAAGTACGTTTCACTTTTCATACCTTTCGAGTCATATAACTCGCAGTGTTTCTTCTTACTGACCTATTTGAATTATTTCCTGGTGCGTTGGCAGAAGAGCCATTTCTGATATCGACCTGTTATCGATCTCCTTCAAATTTCTCTCTGTTTAAGGGTAATCACGTGCCTTTTGTTGAGTGATCCTTCAACCAGTTCATTGGGCAAACATATAGAGCCCGTGAACATCACTCGCGAAAAAATCACCGAGTTTCAGCCACCCATGAAAACGTATTGCATGGACGATGTCATATAAAAATCAGGTTGCTGAGACCTCAATAGCGTTTGACCCTTCTCCAAGACTCAATAAGTAGAGGTCACGTGTAGTTTTAAAGTTTGGTCGCCTCACACGAAATTGTTGAAACTGAATTGTTAAAACTTTGAACAAGTGGATGCAAAGACAAAGAAGCTGGTAGCTAAAATCGTCATATCGAGCACCAACGTCACTAGTAATACATGGACGGTCAACCGGATTTAACTTCACGCCTGTCAGAGACATCTGGTTGGGGGAACCTTTGGGGAAGTTTACATAAAGCTGCCCCTAAAGGTTCTGAACGTATGCTGACCAGACAACCAGCAAGTTGGTTGTGATTTTCAATAGGAAACCCGTTACATATTCACGGGAAATTCTGCTGACTAGGCGAAGCAAGATTTTGTATACAAAATGTCAATAGATCGATCTACTTGTCCTTCAGTTACCAAAATCCTCACGGATTGGAAGCAGTAAGGATGGCCGTTTAATCGATTTAGCACAGATCATGAAATGGAACCCCTAGGACCCTGTGTAACTTGTTCAATGGAAGCGAAATGCGAATAACGTCTGTTTGAACTAGGTGGAAAAATAAGTCTATTCCATGTCATGCGGCTTCCCCAACCATTCATGAGAAATAAATAAATAGATAGTAAACCAACTTTTACGATGCACCCATGATTCTTCTCCTCATTTCGCCAACTTTCGAAGGCCCTATTTTGACTCTTAAGAATTTTTTTAAAATCGTCCAGCAGTTGCAGCTTTCTGGTGCCTAGCTATCACGCCGCCTGGGTGAAGTATGAGGGTTGAACTACTATCAGGTTGTCCTAACCTGAGCAAGAGCAGTCGAGATACCAGTTTTGGATTCGAACCACGGACGTTCCGTTCCCCCCTTAAACACTGAGCTATCTCGAGCCCAGTTTGAGCGGGAGAATTCAACGTGGTGGGTCTGTACATGTATCTTTGTGCAAGTCAATTTGATAATCCAAAACGCTAGAGAAAATCACTGTTTTTGGTCTCACAAAGGCGCCCATTGAAATGGAGAAAACAGAGGATGCGAAGGGAACTCGTTTTGGAAAATCACATCTCGCAGCTACGTATCCAAAGCAGTTTGGAAGTCAGCGAAATACACTTATTTGAAAACTAATTTGGCTTTGCGAGAGGCACACCTTGAACCAAGCTGAATCTCTCGTTTGTGATGTTTCCAGGCAACTGAATGTGCTGCACCTCATGTTTGGGTCGCTACAATATTTGAGATATTGTGGTACATGTATATTCGTACTGAACTACTCACAAGGTTGCTGGAAATTCGTCGACAGCCCACCTTGTGAGTAGTGCAGAACGAAATTCGCGATATCTCAAATATCGTAGCGACTAAATCATGAGGCGGACTGGTGCAGTACATTCATTTGTTTGGAGACAAACGTGAGATTCAGCTCGGTTCCAGGTGTCTCCCGAAAAACCAAATTAGTTTGCAGATGAGTGTATTTCGCTAATTTCGTGCAATTTGGCTTTAATTAGAACGTAAGGTTGACGGAAACCCAAAGACTGAGCCTACCTGATGAGTCCCAAGAAGGCCGAAGCCGGCCGTGGGCTGTCAGTGAATTTTCAGCAACCTTATGAGTACGAATATACAGTTTTGAAGTCATTTGACTTGATTGTGTGGTATCAGTTGTAAATAGTTTGGTAACAGTTAATAAACATAGCTCACGAGCTACTGAGCAGTGGAGTCCAGTGACAGACTGTATGCCCACATCACAATTACAACTCATCACGTTCAAGAGGACTGCAGTGGAAACCGTGTTAAACTACGATCTAAAACCAGGAGAATCGCCAGCAAATTCCGTTGTTCCAACGCAGCTATCGATTCAACCTGTAACGAAACCGTAATAGCGTTTCCCACTGTCGCATCGGTCCCTTTGGCAGTATATTTAATCAACAACCCAATCAAATAAATTTTGATCCGGTGCTGAATTGATAGCGTTTTGCACAACAGCTGGTTAACCTCAGCCCTCTTGTACGCTGACCAAATCAGATCTCAGAATATCCATGTGCCCAGATGTGCGTGATTGGTTGTCTTCAATGAACCAATCCAAACATGAAGATCATGTGTTTCACATTAGCTTGGGGCCACACCCCTAAAACACAGTGATATTCCCCAGAAAAATGTCCCAGGAAAATTACGCTTCCTAAAAGAGAATCGAATGGCTTAGTTTCAAAATTATTTGGGCTACAGTAGCGGTCACTCGGATTAAAAGTACTTTTTAGATGTGCCAAGCTTGAAGCTATCGCTTCACCCATATAAATAACTACAGTGCTCACCGACACTCACTAGATCACGAGATCTGTCTTTTTCCTTACACTCACAAGTCGCGCCACACACAATCGTGACTCACTTGACTACACAGGACTCACCTTTTTCCCTACATTTACAAGTCACAAGGATGACTCATCTGACATTGACTGTCTACCGTCTGATAGGTGTAGCAACAAATCATGTGCTGACACCCACACACACGCAAACGTAGCTACATATAGGAAGACCGATCACAATCAACGCACACTGACTCGCGCGCGCGTAGGGAGCAGGAGGTCGGCCGCACTCCACAAGTTCACGGACAATTATGGAACACGTGTAGCAGCTATACTGCGGAGAAAACACGTTCCCGCTGTCCGGACTTTCACCAAGGAACTCTCAAACATCCACCTGGTCCTTCAGCTCTTACGAGGGCTATCCACATGTCAGTATTACTCCAGCTTGGAGAAACTCACCTTCGCTAATGATAGTCAATCAGCAATTGGAGTAAAAACGCTTGATAGGTCGAGGCGCGACCTTCTTTAGAATGTAACCAAGAGCTTTTCATTATCAGATTGCCAACTCACCTGTGGTACCTTACATGAATTCAGTGTGTGGCTGAACTTGATATCCACGTCGTCCTTGAACAACCTTGGGTCTGATCTATAACGCGAGAAAAGTATAAGTAAAGTACAACATATCTGTGTTGGCGCCAAGTCCGAAAAGTTGCCCAACTTGGTTTGATGTGACTGATAAATGGGTATGATGAACCACAGAGACAGAGGGACTTGTCGGACAAACGGAGGACCATTAAGTTCATATTACATTGGCGATCTTTTCTGAAGGGTTATGCGAATATCATACCATGTTGGGTAATAATTTCCGCTTCAATGTGGAAGTCACAAAAGGTTGACCAGTCGCTTTGAGGGATATCGATTGCTATTCTGGTGAGCACGGAGGTAACGATTCAATGGGTGAAGTTCAGTCGGATGAAGAGCGTGCGTCCTCGGCAGCGTAGCCGTTATTCCACCCGACCTTTTGATGTGTCATCCTGTCCAATTGGATTCAGTGTTTATACACGTATTGCTACCCTTGAACTTTTTCCATCCGTACCACTG